TTGATTGCGAGGGGGTCTATGCGTTGGATGTGTTGGAAGCGGGGGGAGGTGGACCATAATGTGGCCCATCTGGCATGGGTACGTTCTCTGTGAGCTTGCTTGATGGCTGAGAGGCTGAGCGGCAGTAGGTTGTTACGAAGATATTTGGGGAGAAGCTCACGGGGGCTGTTGCGATTCCTTCCCTCTGCTGCTACTTTCGCCGCTTTGTCTGCCTCCTCATTCCCGTGTACTCCCTCGTGTCCAGGAACCCAGCGGAGCGTTAGCTTGAAATTCGGATTCGCGCGCTTGATCTTCCTTAGTATTCTCTGAAATTTCGCAGCTAGGTAGGAACCTGGGTTAGTGTAGAAACTCTCACCTGATAGGATGGCCGCCTGGTTGTCAACCGAGATGGAGAGTGGGAAGGTGAGATTCTGTTCAGTCGCAATCAACTTAGCGGCTAAGGTCAGGCCAACCATTTCGGCTTCGAAGACGGTATGATCCTCGTCCGTGCCCAGATAGTAACGGAGGGTACGGGGGGATTTGCCTGCATGAAAGAGTATGGCAGCTGCGCCTATGTGTCCGTCGTGTCCGGAGCCGTCGCTGTATACTTGGATGTTGTCTGGCAGGTCATGGTGTTCGGCGATGGCCTCTTCTCGAGAGGTGGCGATGTGCGTGTCATATAGGTTGGGGGAGGAAGGTGCACGTCGAGCTGGGATAAGGGTTTCGATGTCGGATGAGTTGATCTGGAAGAATCGGGTGAGACGGTGGAGGGAGGATCGGTGGGACGAGACATATCGGCTTGCAGCTGTTCGGAGGGCGGAGTAGAGGGGGTGGGTGTCTGGGTGGGCAGCCATTCTGGTGACCGCTCGGTGACAAGTGTTCTGGAGTAGGAGGGTCATGGGTAGTAGGTTAGCGTGTACTTCGAGCACGTCAGTTGCGGTGCTCCTCATGGCTCCGGTCATGGCAATGGCAGCAATGCGCTGGATGGAGGTTAGTTTCTTGGCCACTCCTAAGGAGCCACGCTGCAGTGTGTCAGTGCCTTCACGGTATGCTGGTGTGAACCAGAGGTCAGCCGCATAGAGCATTTTGGGAACAGCTGTGGCCTGGTAGAGTTGCCTCATGAGACGGAGCGGGATACCTTTGGACATGGTGGACAATCGTCGGAGCTGCAGGACGTAGGCTAGGCCCTTGGCCAGGGCATTGTCAACTTGAGCCTTCCAACGCAGTTCTTGGTCGATGATGACGCCTAGAAAACGGTGAGTAGGGGAGGGACGAATGACCACTCCACGAAGGAGTAATGCCGGACGATCCTTTCTTCTATTCATGGAGAAGTCAATTAGCGCAAACTTGTTGGTCTCGAACTTGGAGTTGTGGTCTTGTGACCAATCAAAGCCTCCGCCCGGCCGTTCTAGCATGTTCTTGAGGATGCGATGAGTATCGTTGAAATCTTTACCTATGGCCACCAGGGCTGTATCATCAACGAAGGCAAGAGTTAGTTCTGAGAGAGATGCGCGTCCTCGTCTGGGTTTCGCGATGTCTACGAGGTCAGCGCTATAAATAATATAAAGAATCATTGAGAGAGGGTCGCCCTGTCCTATACCATTATTAATATCGATCCAATCTGAAGTGAATCCATCGAAGTGCAGCTGAGTCTTGCGATTCGTGAGGACTCGTTCCGTGAAGTTGACGAGTGCTGAAGGCAGACGCCGGGTTCGCATATTGTGCAGCAGCCGTTTGGTGACTGCATTCGGGAAGGCACCCTCGATATCCAGGAAAAGTACCGAAGCGACTTTGTGCGAGCGCCATGCGTTCTTGATGGTATGTTCCAGGAGGTGGAGAGAATCGGTGGTGGAGCGTCCTGGGCGGCCGCCGAAGTGGGTGTTCGGCAAGAGATGATGGTGTTCTAGTAGATAGGTTAGTTGTTCAGCGACGACGGCAGTGAGAAGTTTGCATGTGGTGTTAAGAAGGGCGATAGGGCGATAGGCCTTCGGTACTGTGTAATTCGGCTTGCCGGGCTTTCGAAGTACGACCGTCGTGAAGGTCTTCCAAGGGGCATAGTAAGTATTATAGGTGAAAACGGCATTAAAAAGATGGACTAGATAAGGGGTTAGTACGTCAGAGCATTGTTTGAAAACGATATTGCGGATGCCGTCGGGCCCTGGGGCCTTATATCCGCTAAGCTTCGAGATGGCGCGAGTGATCTGGGCTGATGAGATGGGAGTATGGGGAGCTATTGGGTCTGGATAAATGTAGTCAGTGGGGACAGAGTCAGTGATAGGAGGAGGGGGAAAGAAAGCTTCTGCGATGACGGCACTCTTTTCAGCATTGGTGGTAGCTTCTATCTCGCTGCCGTCTGGTCGTTTGGCGAGAAGGGTGGGTATGCGCGACTTCCCCCCGTCGCTCGGAGTGGAAGAGATGTAGCGGTTAGCGGTCCAGAGATCATTACCCTCGATATCCTCTAGCCATTCCAGCCAATGCTGCTTCTTGGTGGCAGCGATTTTATCGGCATAGCGGTTTTTGAGGGCCTTGTGTTCCCGATGGCATGGGTGATCTGGGAGACCACGCATCTGGTGGGATTTTCGGCTGAGCTTCGCGACCTGCTTGCATAGGTCGGAGAGGGTACGCGTCCACCAGCGTTTGGAGTGTGGACAGGGTTTTGCTAGAGGTACACATGCTTCAGCGGTGGACGTGATGGCTCGCGTGACAAATTTGGCCATTTGCTGAAATTCTTCCTCTGAGGCGAGCGGGAGTGGAGGGGTGGGTGCGAGTGTGGCGCTAAGGACCTCTTTGAATTTCTCCCAGTCGACCTCGCGCCAGTTGGGGCAAGGGACGTCGTCTTTTCGGGTGACTGCTAGTTCAAGCATTAGTATAATAGGGAGGTGGTCCGTTTTGGGGCCTCGTTTCACTGGTTCAGTGTCACATGCGATGACAGCGTCGAGAGTGCCCTCTGTGCCGAGTACATTATCTGGCCGAGTCCAATTGCCAGTGCTGTTGGATTGGAGGGTGGGGATGCCGCAAGGGAGTAGCTGTAGCATACCATAGTCAGCGATCAGGTCAATAAGCGGTTGAGAGAGCGGGTAGTTAAATAAGTGGCGGTTACGAATGTCCTCCCACATGGGGTGATGGCGATTGAAGTCGCCCAGCCAGAGCATGTGGTCATCTGCCGTTGGACGGAGCAGAGCAATGTTCTGACTGAGGAAGGTCTCCATGGCAATTAGGGTATTTTGGTGGGTACAGTCGTTATATATATTTACAATGGTGCATGCACCGAAGTCACCAGTCATTTGTACAATAACCACGTCGGATGACGGGAATGGAATTTGTCGCCACGTGTTCGTGTCGAGCGAAGTGTTGACAAAGGTGATTGCTCGTGAGCGTTCCTGAGGGTGAGTGAGATGGTTAGTAGGATATAGGACATGCCAGCGGTGGCTGGCGCGAGTGTTACGAAGGAAGTTAATATATGGTTCCTGAATTATTAGAAGATCGTGATTAGTGATATCCCGGCTGTTCATCAGCGACTCTTGAGCCGCTAGCGAGGCGTTGAGGTTTTGCTGCCATATCCTAAGACTGCCTGGGGCGGGGTTGGGTTGTTCAGACATTTGGGAGGAGAGAGTTGGGGCTGGCAATGGGGGTCGTGTAGGTGGACAACGAGGGAGTAGGTGACGACACCGGAGTAGAAGGGGGTGTGGGTGACGAGGGGGTTGATGGTGTCGCAGGAGTGGACGTAGTCGAGGGAGTTGAGGGGGGGTGAGAGCTCATTGGGGGGACAGGCGCAGTCACAGTTGGCTGCAGAGGGTCAACGCGTTTGAAGGGGAGAGTGGCTTGCTTGCTGGGTAGTGGCTGGCTTGTGTTGATAGCGGGGGGTGGTGTGTGCGGCTCTGCGGTGCGGGGAGAAGTAGAACGATTGGGCGTCAAGGTTGGTGCCCTTGAGGGACAGATGGTTGGGTTTCAGGTGGAGCTGGTAGGGAAGAAGGGGAGTTTGTTCTCCGGGTATTGTTCGTCCAAGGTCTTGCAACAGCGGATGAATTCCGGACACTTGCGACTCCAGCTGGTGTGGTTTTGGCTCTTGCAGTTTACGCAGCATTCGGTTCGGAACGCGTTGCACTGTGTAGTCCAGTGACGGCCACTGCATGTGCCGCAAACGTCATGAGGAGAGGAACAGTTGCGAGCCATGTGCCCGAATTTCTGGCATTTGGCGCAGCGTAGGGGTTCCTTGTGGTCCTTATTGACAGCATAGCGATGGGCATCAATACATATGCCCTCCTTCAGGATGTTGTTGGCGGTTTCGACGTCCGTGATCTGGAGGAGTGCGAAGGCGGTGCGTTGCTCTCTTGTACGACGTTGTGGGGGCTTGATCCAGCGGATGGATGCTATCGAATTAGGGGGGAGGTGGTTTTCAGCTTCGATGTGACGAGGGAAGTCATCATGTTCTATCTCGTAAGTGATCAGCAGGAATTGAATTACGATGGAATAGGTCCTATCCCGTATGCATGCCGGCGAGTCCAGTTGAGACTTGAGCAGCATTCGGCCCGTAGGGCCTTTGAGCCAGCCCGCTAGTTGTTCATTGTCGAGCTCCACTATCAGACCTCCATTGCGAAGGCGCTGGACCGCGCGGACTGCGCCTGTAGGGGTTCCCTCGCCACGTATTTCAGAGAGGATATCAGAGATGCGCTTAGCAATGGTGGCATTGGTGGCTTCTGCCGGGAAGAGAGAGTGGCCCGGCATTGGGTCAAGCAATATCTGTTTGGCTCGAAGAGATGCTCTGGCTACCGCTTGGTCAATGGACGGGGGGAGATTGGCAGCTGCTACTGAGCTGTAGGTAGGGAAGGCTGGGGGAGTGACTGTTGGCTGCATGATAACTGGTGCATCAGTAAAACCTCGGATTTATTTTCCTTCATTATCCCACTTTTCTTGCCTTGGCGCTGGCGCTAATGCATAAAAATTAATACAAGGAGTGATAACTCGATCTTTCCGAAATTTCTCAAAGGCGCAAAGGAGCGGTCCATTGGTTTTGCCACACAAAGGAGAGAAAATGCATATTAAGAGAGAAAAGAGTATTATAGATTCAAATAGTGTACAAGTAGCTAGATCAAAATGCAATCTCAAAGGCGTGATGGTCAGCGTATTTATTGACGTAGTAGGCGCGGAATGCATCATAGGAATGATAAAATTTGAGCTCTGGAGGCAGGAATTCCGTGCCGTACACGGGAATAAGATGGGCAGCGCGATAAATGGCGTCAATATGAATGATTGCGTACCCAGCAGTATTGTTTGCACCCTCTCCTGGACGAACCATCCACATTCCCGTGTCTTCGTCTGCAGCATCGCCGATTTTGTCGAACCAGCGAACCACAACGCAGGGATAAACTTCGCCCCGGTACTGGAATGAAAAAAATGCGCAAACGTGCGCGACTTCGAGACCTTGCATGCCAGGTAGACTAGAGTCTGTGTTGACAAAGACACAGTCGTTGCGTGAATGCCCACCTCGCCAGGAGGGACAAGAGCGGATGTGTTCAGTGCGCATGCCACCAATACCACTCAAATCGCTCGGCGCATAAAACCGCGATGATGCCGAGTTGAAGACTGCAATTTTGCTGAGATAGAGGGGGCATTCAGAAAGAGGTACATTGGACGGATCGCGGGGGTCATCAGGATGCATCTGTTGAAATAAGAAGCGTCTGAGAAGGTCAGATAGGTGAGGAATATCAAGTTCCTCGGCGAGTTCAGGAATGGTTTGAGCGCGATTTTTGCCCTCTGTACAGTATGTTCAGTATTACGTTGAAAATCAGGAAAAAAGGACACCTACGGCAGGTTTTTGCCAGCGTTACGAACGCTTGTAGAACAGTGGGCCCGTCGTCTATGTCGAGGTCCACATCAATATTGATCAAGGGAGGTGGAGGTGGTGCAGCAGGAGCAGGCACATGCATATCTGCTGCTGCTGCTGCTGCTTGAGCAGGTGCGAGTGCTGCCGCCCCGCCATCTTCATCAACTTGGTCGATCTGCGCAGGAACTGTTATGCAAATTAGTTGAAATATATCTCGTAAGAAATGCGCGACTTACCTAAGGCATTGACTGCTGAGAGACAAGTGCCAGTGAGCATCCCCCGACGCGTGAAGTCGACTCGCAGTGCTGAAAGTTTGTCGAGCCGTTGATTGGTCAGTAATATCTGACCAAGCGCATTGAAACGGCTCGATCGTCGCCAGGGCTCCTTGACCGCTTTGATGTGCTTGTTCTCGGTGATTGACGAGCAGAGACCATTGGGTGCAGCAAAGAGTCGAATGTTTCGAACATAGTGCATGAGCGAGTGTTGACGAGGTAAGGAGAAGTGAAGGACGACACCCGTTGTCCTGAAGATTTCGCGGTAACGGTGAAAACGAGAGAGCGCATCTTCGATTTGAAGTAGAGAGTCTTCGGTGATGATATTGCGACGTACTAGATAACAAAAATCTAGAAGCGCACGAAAGGTGCGAACGACGTCTTGAGGTACATGGCCCTCGATAGCAGGTAAATAGACCTAAAGGATTCAATATTAGGTAGTAACAATACACAAAAATGACGACTCACTTTCATCAAGGCCTTGGAGTCATCTCCTGTCCACTGCTTGAATCCGCGCCCTTGAGGAAATCATCGCAAGCCTGAAAACGAGGCGACAGCAGCAATTCTATGGCAATGATAAAAAAGTAAGCAATCCAAATACAAACCGAGCTCACCTGCGGTCAATATCATCCATAATTTTCTGTGCCTTCCGTTTGTTGTGTGTCTGACGGAGGTACTTCTCGACCCACGTCACGAGGTGATCCTTGAAGGCGCCTTTTATAAGTTGATGGAGGATATCTGGTGATATCATTTGATGGATATCGGCTCGGGGAAAGTCGTTTGTGAATGGCTGTCGAAATAGTATTAGTTTTGTAAATGAAAACAAGAGAAAAACGCTGAATGACTTACCACAAGTTGCGCGACTATTCCGAAGTCTTCCCAAAGATCTCCCGAGGGAGCTTCTTCGACGAGTGCCTCTGTATATTCGCGGCTACGGGGCAGCGCATCTTCGTCGAGATCTTCACGATTTGCAACACACCTTTAGAATAATGTGAGCAACCATGTAAATACATATTAAATGAAAGACATACTTTGGACACCAATTACGGACAATGCACGCTAATAAAACTTGCTCCTCATAATCCGCTATGTAAGGCCCTAGTCCATATATGACATGCCGGTAGTGGCCATCTCCGAAACGCGTTACTTCAGGAGTCGTCATGCCCGGCTTGAGCGGATCGAGAATTTTGGAAAGGGACGAATGGAATAACTGTCGACGAAATCTTCGGAACGAAGGTTCTTCAGCATGTTCCTGCGTAGCTGTATCATAGTTAGTCAGTTATAGAAATAGATTGCAGGATTGAAACATACTTTTCGGCATTGCCAGGAACCCAATGACGGCCACACCATCGCGATGCGCTCTTCGAACATTATTGTGGATGTTCCCAATGGAAGCATAGAGCGGGTAGTACTCGTTGTTACCCGTTCCGACTGAAACTGTCGTTTTGTCGCTGCCAAGGATGACAGGGACAAATGTCGACCCGAGAGTGCTCGGGTCTTTCGCGATTTCGTCCTAGATACATAGAGCCGTTAATATCAGACATTACGAAACAAAAAATGCATTACTTACTGCTTGATCCCACACCCAGTCACCAGACATGAAATCCTTCCATTGGCGCTTGTCGCCCTCAGTTGAATACTCCCTATACGGGCAGTAATCCATCTCGTTAGCATAAGTCGAATTTGCGAGCATATTACGCGCAACTTCACGTGGGTCGCGGAACCAGACTTCGTATTCGCCATCCATCCAGGGCTTGTGCTCGTCTGCAAGTCTCTCGCCATCATAGGCGACCGTAAAGCGTTGCCATGGTACATCCCCAAAGGGCGAACTGTCAATGACGTGGTACAGATCACGGTGATCTGCAAACGGCGGGTTGTCATTGTGCTTTGCGAGGGTAGATGCCCATAGATCTAGTAGCCGGTCAATTTGACCAGCTGGCATTTGATTGTGCTTGTAAAGGAACTCGGCCGTTTCAAATTCTGTGCGGTTTCGAAAAGGCGTCCAGTCATTGGTTGCGAGATTCTCAGGAGATGGAGGTGGAGCGCCAGGGGGGAGGAATACACCATTTACATCACATGGTCTACCTGTAATAGCGCTCATTAAAGATAGAGTATCAGGCAGTAAATTGACGTACCGTTGAGACCTGTGTGATAATTGCGATAAAGATGATCACCACGCCCAAAAAATTCTGTGTCGACGTCTGCATGGGGGGATTGTTGGCGCAGATGTTCGTCCATATCGCCCTGGTAACCATCCACATCGACATCACGCTCATTGTCTTCATTGTGAGATGGGTGTGGGCTTGGTGTTCGGGGAACAGGTTCCAGAGATTCTCGATGGTTGTCTTGAGGCGGTACTGGCATCACAGGATGTGCCGAAATTCGGTGTTTTGTTCGCCCAGCAGAGCTTTTGAACCATCTTGAACATGTTCCACATGGGAGTTGGAGTGCGCTATGGTCCCGTCGGCGTGGTTGGATGCGTGGAATATCAGCAGGCATCACAGAAAGTGAAGACACTTGAGATTGCGTCAATAAGAGTGCGTGGCTGAAATAAATCGATACCTGCATTTTTGTTGAGTTGATTTCCAAGTGACTGAGCTCAGGCCAGCCAAAGAATGTGTCTAGTTGATGTGACCGGCTGGAAGTGTAGACATTTGAAGTAAGTATGGCGCGAAAAGACAGAATAATGCAGGACTTACTTGATGGTTTGGACAACTTTACAGGTGCGCAGACCAGAGAGTCCTGCTAGTAGCGAATTGAATTAGCGATCGAACTTTGTTTGGTTAGTTCTTAAGTACGGAACTTACAAATTGGTTGTCAATTTTCAACTTCAACCATTCTACTGACCACTCATTACATTTCCCTGGCCGTCCCAAGCTTGCCATAGAGCCTGTCAAATCCGCTACTCGTCAGCAATGTCCGACACCGCTCAGAAGTCACGCACTCGCCCACAGAATGCAAACAAGCATCCAGGCTTGCCTGACCTGCCAGCAAAAGGACGTCAGCGACGGACTAAGGCCCAGATAGCAGAGGACAACCGGATTCTTAAGGAATCGCGCGAAGTTCAAGAGCAGGCCGCGCTTGAGGGGCTGCAACGGCTTGCAGCCATGCAGAAAGAAATGGAAAAGGCGGAGGAACTCACCGTCGTGAACAAGCCAAAGCCAGTGAAACCTCGTGCCCGCCCTGTCGTGAAGCGAACAGCGCCTGGTAAGAAGCTCCTGACAACAGGAAACGCTGGTGAGTGCACAAGCATCAAATGAGGCTCACTTACATGGGGCTAACATTGTTGAGGACCTAGATGAAAGTGGTCAAGACAACAGCGGTCATGTTCAAGACGACAGCAGTCATGTTCAAGAGGAAATGAGTGAGAAGTCGAAGACTCAAAAGCGTGGCAAGATCTCACTAAAAGATGCAATCAACAATGCCCGAGATTTGATCGCAATGCCAGGAATCAGAAGCCAGGAACCACGTGTCGAAGACAAGAAAGGAAAGTTATCTGCGAAGTACGTCTTTTCGACTTGATCAAAACCATGTTGATGCTTACCGAATCAACACTATTCTTTGTTAACTTAACCTCAAAATTCAGGTCGACCAACTTAAAGTTTTCATTGGCAGGACGTGTCAATGGCTGGGTATCTGATGTTACACCAGATGAGAGGTCCAAAGCTTCAAGCGCTTCCAAGTCTTGCACCACTGCCTCCCCTTTCTCATTGGCGCATGGGCCACCCAGCACCCAGGTTACATCTGTATCAGGTGTAAATACCAAGTCCAGTCGCCAACCTAAAGTCTCTTCCAATCTTGCTACTACTAACAAACCTGTTCCTGAGGTTCTTGTTGGCGGCTTTGCCGATGACACTTTGGATGATTCCCAGGAACGCCTTGAAACAATCGCCTCGAAAACAAAGGAGAAGAAGTCTTTTATTAAGGTGCGTAGAGCATATGTAGTCTTACTGATTCTAATACAAAGTGAACTATATAGATCACTACCAACATGAGGACCGATGATGCGACAATGGGCTCGAAGGGCCAGTCTGATCTCAATGTGCCAATGGACGTGGAGGCCTCCATGCCATCAGACATAGAGGCAGACTTCGAGGATGATGGCCTAACAGACTTCGAGGACAATGATCCAATGGACGCAGAGGATGACGTGGAGAATGATGTGGAGGTTCTGGAGGACGACTTCAACCCGAACGAAGATGCGAAGATGTCTGAGGACAGTGACGGTGGCAGTGGTTTATCATTCCACCGTCCGAATAACAAGAAGCGCAAGGTCTTGTTTCACTTATTGTCCTCAGATGAGGAACTTGAGGCTCCGCTTACAGCTGGTGTTGGAGCGGTCGTGAAGAAGGCCATGCGGGTAACATCTTCAGTAAGTCTATTTCATTAACGGTTATTGCTACTTATATTTGTTTCAACAGACTTCAGTCGCTGTCTCTGAGGCAGCTGCTACAACAAAGCCACCTGCGAAGAAGGTGAAGACTGAAGAAGTTGCCGATGATGATATGAAACCCGTGCTCGTTCCATTGCCCGGTCACTGGATCGAGAAGCGATATAAGTCACGCTCAACCTACCGGAACAGTGATCTCCCTCCACAATGTCAGGATCAACGGTGGCCCAAACATTTTCTCTCGACCCTTTACCTGTGGGCCGGCAGCCAAAATGATCTCTGGCAGTTTGCAGATACCTCTCTTGTTGAAGCGCTTCAATGCATTTTTGATGTCATTTATCCAGATCTCCAGTACAAGGTGACCGCTCAGGGATCTGTCTTTGGTGTTGTGCGTCTAGCAATTTTTTTTGTAGCACTATTGCCAACTCATTGTGATCTCAATAAGGCTACTCAGCGTCTGGCAGAGTGGCGCAGCAACTTCGGTTCAACAGGACTTGCAATTATGATTGACTTCTTCGCTCGGAACGAAGACACACATCCAAAAGACCTTAGCGAAGCGCTTATGGAGGAGTTTGTGTTCCTCTTCGAGGACTTGGACTACTCAGACAAGATGAAAGCATTCCGGTCTCCTTTCATGATACAGTTATTTGCAACCGCTCATCTTCACAGTATTGTTGGACATGCTCATGTCACCGCCATCAAAACAGATGTATTGGCTGCTGGCAGTGGCATGGCTGGTGTTCTTGCTCTCTGCGCAACTTCAGTAAGTATTCTGACCATACAAGAATCATGACTTATCACATTTGACAGCTCGAACGTGCTGTCAAATGCCTCGGCGCTGGTGCCATTGATATTGATGTGGACATCCTCGATATGCGTCCTGCACAACTGAAGCGCAAGCTGCGCACACCGAAGACCCTCAACAAGTGGACCGGCAACTACAGCACCACCGAGCACGCATTTTCCATCAACAACTGGGGGTCAGTAACCGAAGCTTACTTGGCTAGCGTAAAGAAAAAGGGGGACATTTTTTTGAGGGACATGATTTCAACAGCGCAGAAGTTACTCAAGAAATCGGGCAGTGCTGGCCTCGAGAAGTACCTTCGCCTCAATGGCGATGACGAATCAGAGGACATCGACAGGCGTGCCATGCTTTGGTAACTAGTAATATTGGTTTTTTTTTTTTGCGTTATTCATGAGCTAACATCATTTGATAGACCTCGTTCCCGCCATGCTTGCTGTCCGCTTCCATCATTGCCATTGATTCAAGTTCATACTATCGCGTTTTGCTTATCCCACCACCACTCATAATGCCTTTTGTTGTCTTTAGTCTCGTTTCACGCTCTCTGCACCGCCACCCTTCTTTTCGCTAGCGTTTCGTACTCTTCTTTTCGCTAATGTTTCGTACTTTACTTTGTGTTCCCATTTTCATCACTTTTTTGCACTTTCCACCAGATGATGTGATACCGTTTGCTCTCTATTATTACCACTTTGTTTTGTCGGTTAATGCCTCATAAGTGACTTTCATGAGCTGCAAAGTAGAATTCAGAGGACGAGTGGCATTTTTCTCAATTTTCTCATCGTGTCTTTCGTGTCACCTTAATGGTTCCTCAAACCTGGTAAAACTCGGAAAAATAGAAATAAATTCAAAATCTTTAGCGAAAATAGACCCGAGGTTTTACTGATGTGGGGGTTGGGAGAGCTGAGTCGCGAGGTTGTTGAGACGGTCCTGAGTGAATTCGAGGGACGGTGTGAGGAGCTTGTAGGAGTTATTGCAGTCCTCGATGGATTCGTATAGGGTGTCCACCGCATCCTCGATGCGTTCAGCTGCAGTTTTGAGATCATTCTTTTCTTCCTCTTTTTCCCTTTCTATTGCGTCGTGAAGTTGCTTCGATTGCGCCAACGTTCCTATCAAAGATTCTGCAGTGGTGTGTATGGAAGCCACTTGAGGGGCGATAGCTGCTATGACACTGTTCACGATGTTGGTCGAGAGGGAATTCGTGAGTTGTTCGGCTGCCGCTTTGGCGACTACGTCCGCTATTTCCGAGGCGGCTTGCTGTTTGAGAATGAAGGCTACAGCTCTGATGGCGTTGGTGACGGCAAGTGGGATGGGTTTGGCCATTTGGGTGACTTGGAAAAGGATGCCCACCAGGTGGAGCAGGGAGAGAGGTTCGTCAGCCTGGCGAAGGAGAACATTGGTGAGATACTTCTCAGCCGAGTCCAAACCCGTGACTGCTCCCGGTAACGCCTCAATGTCATCCTGCAACATCTGATTCCTTTGGGCGGTGGGGTTACGATTAGTTGTGTGAGGTAGCGTAGTTGGCTGGTTCTTTTTCTCTGGCGCTTTAGTGGGCGCCATGAGCTGTAGAGTCTGTCTGTTAGTGTTGTTCACGGTTTATATACTTATTTGATTGTTTTTGGAGTTTTCTGGAGTATGTCTAGATAGAAGAGAAAGGTCTAAGAGTTAGTATGGATGCGCAAAGGCGCCGTTTGGCAACCTTGGCGCTGTTGAGCGCGATGTTGAAATTTGAGTTTCAGGGTCCTAGTCGGGGTGCCACTTGGTTCAGGTCCAAGAAGCGATTTCTGTGATGTTAATGGAGAGGGTCTCAAGGGTAGGTAGGAAGAGGCTGAGAGCTGGGATGGAGGTGATGCGCCCATCCCACCATGTAAGTGAGCGCAGGTTGGGAAATATCAGGGTGTCTTTAAGCGCACTTGCAAGGAGGTTTGCATATTCAATCCCATAGTAGTCGTATTGCATAAAGAGGGACTTGACGCGTGCGGCGTAGGGAATCGATGAGTTGAAGTGTTCAGATGTAAGCACCAGGGACGCTGTGCCCGAGGAAACTGATTCCGAGTGAGGCAGGGACTTGATAAGAGGCCGGATGCTGCACAGGTGAGAATAAAGGAGATCTAATGCTATATCATAGAATGCGTGGCATGTGAGTGCGAGACAGAAGACAGAGCGTCGATCGTGATGATAGCAAGATGGTAAGAGATCAGGAAAGGTGGAAGCACTTCTGAAGCGAGCCACTTTCATAGAATTGAAGACAAAATCAAATATAATTTCGAGGATCTCAGTCAGCAGAAGACAGTGGTGCATGTCGAATGCTTGCAGTCTGAAAGGCAAAGTGAGATTCGGAAAAACGATGTAATTACTACTTATGTACTTACCACGTCGCATATGCAGCTGGTTGCAATGGAAATGGTTCCCAATTTACGATCCAATTCGACTATGCGGATATGGTGATGTGAGAGAGGCAACAAACTTCACTTGTGTGTAGATGCCCGTCAAACATCTGGTATAGGGGCTCATAGGCAATGCTTAAGTAAGATATTGGCAAGCTCCAGATGCAAGTCGCTTGTGCAGACAAGTTGATGGACTGGGTGGATCATCTCGTCCTTCTTTTCGATGAGTTGTTGGTGGGTATTTTTAATGCCGTCCATAACTTTCCAGGTCCGAGATTTCCTGCAAAGCTGCATCCAACTGCTCCTGGCGTCGTTTGATGATGGCGCTGATACCATGCCGGTCTGCGAACTCGATGGCAGAGTGGTTGATAGGATAAGATATGCAGGAGTACGAAGTTTTGAGGTCTTCCATAGAGATCCAGTCATCGTCAATGACATGGCATCAATAAATCAGAACAAACATACTGCATAGTCGAAAGAAATAAGTTAATTAGTTACCGGCTTGACAGATGACCAAAAACCCACCATCTACCGTTAACCCGAGCCCGCCACCTGCTCGGCTGGCTATCACGACCGCGGACCTTATCTCGAGCTCGAATGATGAACCTCCAGGTAGATGTTCAGACTCGGATGATGAAGAGAGGAATTAGCTTGATGATGGCCCGGGTGATATCACGGTCCATGTGGTCCATGGATTTAGCTGGCACAAAAAGCAATGAGTTCCATGTGGGTAAGCAAGTGTTGATATATCATCTATATATCTCCTCGATATTCAGACCACCCTGTGCAACCCACGGCTGCTCGTGGAGGTCCATCGAGACCAACTGATCAAGCTGTGACTTCGTCCTCCACACCGGTGGATGACGAGTGGGCAAAATAGTCATAGGCGATGTAAATGAGATTAGCTGTTGAACCGCCTCTGATCTTCAAGGTAGCACACAACGAGTCGTAGGGGCAATGTTGAAATTGTACTGGAGTGGATGACGTAATGTGACAAAATCGAGCACTATTATATACCACCCCCTAACTTCTATATCGTAAGTCCGCTATCATATCAACTACTATACTGCTATGTACTATTTGAAACCAAATTGGGGAGTTTGGTCTGTTAATAACGACCATACATCGCTATTTGGAGTGAAGGAAAAAGGGTGACGTATTCTGCTAGCTCTTCTTTCTTTCTAATCACAAAACCGTCAAAGTACAGGCGTTCTAGGGGACACTTTGACCGTCCCAAAAGCTCCTTGAACTCTTCGTGAGGCCATCGTCCTATATTGCAAACCTCGACCTCCCGTAGATCAGGGAGTGTCACGGCATCGAACAGCTCGAAAAACCTGCGCGGGCTCTCGCTCGTGTTGAAATGCGAGGCCGCGTGTATGCACAAAGATTGAAGTTTGGTGTGCTCCAATCTTTCTGAGGTCTCGATCTCCCCCGTGAATGTTCCCATCATCATCAAGGACGAGAGATTGGGACATAGACGGAGCAAGCAGGGGATCAAGTTTAATTCCCCTACCATGAGCTCAAGACTTGTGAGACTGGCCCATGCAAGAGGTTTGAAGCCAGATAACTCCGGCTTGGTAAGCCACACGTTCGTTAACGTCAGACTGTGCGTGTTGGGAGGCAATTGTGCGACAGAATGCGTGACGGCTCCTGCAGCACCACAATTGTAAATGCTCAGCTCCTGAAGTCCGCCGAAGTCCGCTGCCATCACTGGACAGAAATCAGCACCGGGGAATAACTCGATAGCTAGATTCGATATCTGATTGAGGTATGGTTGGAGCAGGCTTCGTGGCACCGTCCAGTCTTCGTCATGAATCTCGAGTGACAATGACTGACGTCCTCGTGATCGCTTGAGGTAGGACTCATAGCAGACAACTTTCTTCTGCCAGTCACCCTCGACTTCCATTCGCAGCTTGCGCCATAGACTTGGCATGTCCACAGCAACGTCCCGCCATTGTCGACATATTGTGGTCAACAGCATGGGGGCCAGACTAGGATCTGGTGCAAGCGTCCATTCGTCTTCTTCTGGCATGCAGTACAGAAAGATTTGACAGAGGATTTCGGTGGGAAAGCGACAAATAGGCGAATAAAGTGCATTGTGAGAATTGGCTTCTGATGAAGCGGTGTTTGATTGGATTGTTTGCATATTAATGCGAAGGAGGTTGAGATATTGGAGATGGAAATGTAAATGGGAAGTTGGAAGTTCTGTCAACCGTAGCGTCCCTATTTAAATTATAACGCTTTGCCAACGACAAACGCACCTTGCCATTGTAATTGCCCATGGCGGGTCTTCAGCAAAAGACCACCCATTCACATTTAGAGACTTTACATTGTTTCAAAGCGAACCATCGCGAGGGTCATCTCGCTCACCGGTGGTCTCGGCACACCCCAAGACATTTTCTTCTCACGTGGACGATAACCAAAGGCAGAATATGTCGAGTTGTGCGCCCTATTGTAGTATTGAATTTTGAGTTTTGGTTTGATAAGTATGTAAGTACTCACAAAAATCAGGCTTCGACTCTCCTTGGCAACTCAACACAATCCTACCATACGCACTGAAGGGTCGAGTCCCTTTTCGTCGATCGCGTCTCTTCTACATACCTGCACTTCGACAGAGTCACGCTCTTGTTCAAGTTGCAAACAGTATGTCATCCTCATCTTCCTGCTCCGATGTTGAGATGAGCTAGAACACGGACCGAATGTCAAATGTTTCTGAGGCGGCCTGAGCATCGAGTTTACGTTGAACGGTTGATGATGTGCTCCCTTAGAAGAACAAGCATGATGGTGGTGAGCTCATCCGGATCGCTAACGAGCAGAATTTGGAACATAGGTACAGCAAGCAGAGCACTGCGCCTGGGCGATGTATGAGGATCTCGACAATTGTCAGGTTAGCCCATACAGGCTCGCAAGAAGGCAAGAGCTTGAGGTCGAAATAGGACTCTCGAGTTTGGAACTGCGCAGAGTGTGCGGCAGTCGCGGAAAACATTTTTCAGTAATCGGCTTATCGATGATTGGTCCTGAGTGCTGTGAGGTCTTTTAACAAGGGGTCAAATTTGTCAGAAACCACGCGACAATGGATAGAGAACGATGAGATTTCAGTTATGTGAGGTTGAAGGAGGCATTGTAGCTCGATCGCAGTTGAGCTAAAGCAACAGGTGAGTGCCAACAAGAGCAGACATCCTTGTAATCGCTTGAGCCATACGTCCGACTCAATGCGGAAACGAAGTTCCTGCTGTCTTCTGAAGTCGAATGGCGCATCCTTCCTGCACCACAAACTGGGGGTTCTAACAGTAATCTCCATCGTCGACATATTCTGGTCAACAGGATGCCAGCTTCGATGTGGGCGACAAGCACTCGTCTTCCGCGAGACAGTGAACGAAAATATGGGATAAAGCTTCAGCGGTAGCGCGTGTTATCACTGCTAGCTCTTCGTGAGCCTTCCCGGTTCTCTGCGAACGCATGACTGTTAGATTTTGCTTTTTGGATATACAGAGTTCCCATGGATACCATCCAGCAGGCAAATATAAGGAATGTAATCGCAGCCTTGCATGGACCTCTAGCCCTTGTTTTGAGCGAAGAATGCGCGAGTGAGTATGCAATTAGATCGAGTCCACTTAAATTGCAAGCTGAAAGAGGTGAAAATTTTCAGCGCGTTGGAAGAGGGATATACTTGCAAGGCACCTGTGGGACTACATATTATGTTGTACTAAAGCACAAACAGGCACTAAACCAGTGCAAAAGCTCTAAGGTGAACGTCACGTTTAAGATTAGGTAGTTAATAACAGCGAATGTACAAACGGAGGCTGTAACACCACTCACCTAAATCATACAGAAGTACCATCTTCCCACTCCTCCATAGTAACATCTCCACCTGGGGTACTCCGTCCAGTCGCATCCATCATCCCCCCCAGTCTACTCCCATTCAGAGAGCCCAGTACCGGCTCCTTACCCAACCGGACACGGCCATATGTCTCGTCCCACCGCACAGCACTTTTAAAGAAGCGTCGTCCCCGTGGTGGGCCCCTCCCGATGTCAGGGTCAACATTGACGACACGATTTGAGAGGATACTCATGCGCTTCCGTCGGCGATATGAAGATCCGTCAGAGTCGTACCGCTCATCATCCGATTCGTCGGAGCCTCCTGGCTCCTGTAATTTGTACACGAACCGAGAGTGTTCTGCAGAGTGTCAGACTTACTCTATTAAGCTGTGATGACAGGTTGACGCTTACGAGCAAGCCGACGATCTAGATCATCGGTGCCACCGTCTTCATCGGCATCTTCTTCAGCGATATCTAACCCAAGGTGCCGCCCCAGACTTTCCCTTGGTACCTCATGCATCCCGACACTGGGTGCACAAGGTAATTGTGAGAGCTGCTGCAGTGCAGTCGCGCGCACTTTGTCCAAACTTCCATCCCGTACATTCAAGTCATCCATATTGTTCTCCGGTACCTCGAGCCTGTAACGCGGGCCAAACCACTCAAAGTACTCATTCCATGGCAGATTGGGGTCAATGTCATCTTGAATGCCGAGAGCACATGCAGTCTCGTATGTCCAAGTCCGCGCAACGTTCTTCACTGTATATCCTCCGCCTCCAAGAAGGATGAGTGGGACATTGAAGGCGCGCAGATACTGGACGCAGTGAGCATGTCCATTCATAGTCAGATTGAAGCATCCAAGTTTGTCCCCTGCAAGAGAGTCCGCTCCACACTGTAAGATGACTGCACCAGGTCGATAAATTTCCATGATCTTATTTATAATCTGATGCGGTGTTAGCGGAAGTAGATGAATACTTGACAAGTACTCGCCGGTTCAAACACCCTCTTGAAAGCCTCGTCTGTAATTCCGTCCTTCAAGGGGATATTCACCGTGTAGTTCCTCCCCTTTCCTCTTCCTCGATCCTCCTGGGTACCGGTGCCGGGAAAATATTCCCCAAATTTGTGGAATGAGCAGGTCATGACGCGGTCTGTGGTGTAAAATGCTTCCTCTACGCCATCTCCGTGATGACAGTCGATATCGATGTACAGAACGCGGGGGTATGTCCTCAGGAGCTCCAATATACCCAGTACAATGTCATTAATATAACAGAAGCCTGATGCCTCCCGTTTCTTCGCGTGATGGAGACCGCCTGCCCAATTGATAGAGATATCTGCGGCTCCTGAAGATATTCGTTGTGCAGCAGCTGAAAAATGTCAGTGCAGAACGTGCAGGTAAAGTGACATAGTCGTACATATTGAGCCTCCGGCTGATATTGAACAGAACTCGAAGACACCTTCAAATGCAGGGTTGTCTTCGCCCATCAGAACTGTGGAGGTATGTCATGGGTAACAAGTGCGTCAAAGAGGAATCGCTGGTACTCACAACGGGTGCCATGATAAGTTAACTCTTCTGCGGTCTCTGGCGTCACGCGATTTAGAAAATTTATGTACTCGTCCGTATGAAAAGCTGTCATAGCTTCAGGAGTAGCGCGTTTTGGACGCTACGCATGTGCTGTTTTCTTAACAGAAGAATACATGGTTCAGGGGGTAAGGCATACCAGAACGTGCATTTTATCGAGCATTCCATAGGCTGATACAAGATCATGCGTGACGCGCATTCGATGCGGTTTCATGGGGTGACCAAGACCGTACGTATATGAACCGGTGTCGCCTGTGGTATTGGTTCGTTAGGAATAAAAAGTGTGGATTTTACAATGAGCACACCATCATAGTAGTAAGCTACCCGCCTCTTTGACATCTCTTGTGCGTTTAATGGAAGAACAGCTTGTCGTACGGGCGTTAACTTCAAATGTTTGAAGGTGGAATTGTCTGCATTAGGACTTAGAGCGGGGTTCGAAAACCTAACTTGGCGGCGCGCGCCGGCCCGCAGGGGTGTATGGTCGCACAAAAATAGGGTTTACAGAGTACAGTTCAAGCTGTCTCATATTGTTACTCGAAGGCGCAGTTAACAAGGGTCGGCTCGAACTTATATGATTCGTATCTGAACTCCACAGACGGCGCCGCGGCTTCACTGACACACTGCATCATTCCCAAATATGTCCACCAGCGGTGGCTCTACTACTTGAGCCTTTCATCATAGAAGCAAGTCCTCGTGAAGAATGAGAACATCCGCGCCGTTAGTACGTGAGTATCATTCGCTTTTTGCTCGGCTCCGTGGAAAAAGTTGTATCAATTGGCAATGAATGCGCTGAGGGAATTATACCAATGGGTGAGGCAGAAAGAGCCCAAGATATCGCTATCAACCAAGATCCGACTCAACGCAAAAATTGCAGTACGTTTGCTCTAATAATTCCAGTTCTGATGCCAGCTGTATTCAAACTAGTACCCATGAGCGATATACGCGCGGGCGACCAGTGGGTCTGGGAGGAGTAGAGTGCACTTATGCAACATTCACACGGTGCATGCTCCGGGTGCAACGGCAATTTCCGATATGATGACTCTCTCTGGCATCTGCAAAACCCAAAAACGATCAGAACCTGTGATCAACCTTCCACCGGTTCCATACCGGCCCTGGTATAAACGTTGGCATCATATTAGTTGGCCAGCTCCGCCTTTCCCTTCCCTTCTCTCCGTTCCTTCACCTACTCACCAAGCATGACTTGGTCAGATGTACCAATCTCGATAGACCCGATCATTGCTGACAATGTTTATATTGGAAAGTATGCAGCCAGTCGTTCAGTACTATGACCTTATCTGACATAGACCTCAGTCTTTCAGCCGCTCTATCAACCGATGTACGCAAGAGACTTGGAATAACACATATTCTTTCAGTCTGCACCGAGTATTCGTCTACAGACCACAACCACCTCACTATACCCGTGCAAGACTCAGAGTACGAAGATCTCCTTATACATCTACCTCGGGGATGCGGCTTCATTCAAAATGCTTTGGACCAAGGGGGAAAGGTTCTAGTTCATTGTGCCATGGGCGTCTCAAGAAGCCCCACTGTCGTCTGTGCCTACCGTAAGTTTACGTCATTTTGGTCCTTGCTTTCTTTGTGGAGCACTTAGTTTGGCTCTCGCGTGTCAAGTAATGTCCACCCAACGGCTATCTGCTCATGCAGCAATACAATACGTACGAAAACGTAAGATTCGACCGCCCACTTATTTCATTGGACTCATGATCGTTCGGCTACACAGGTCGACCAAAAATTCACCCCAATTATGGATTCATGAAGCAGTTGATTGCTTTCGGCGAGTGCCGTTATAAGCCTTCATGCACAAACAGCGAGTATATCGCCTGGAAGCGCAGGCAAAAACGAGAAGTATCTAAATATCTCGACCTGATTGCCGACACCGTACCCGTGATACGAGATCAATTATACCTTAGTAGGTGCGGAACTCGATTGTGTAGTTGCACCGCATTGCAGTTTACGCTTTTTCATACCCAGTGACTTCCCGGGAGATCCTGATGCTGCCGAATCACTTCTTTTGGACTTGGGCATGACACATGTGCTTTCCATCTCATCTGCACAACTTCCGAAGCCAGATCTTCCTCTGTTTAATCACTGTTTTATTGATATCCCAAATAATGGTCGCGAAGCTTTGTTGCTTGAGCTTCCGACAGCATGTAAATTTATTGGTGACGCCATCACCAACGGAGGCCAAGTGCTCGTTCAGTGCCGCGTCGAGCTCAGAGCTTGTATCGTAGTTTGTGCCTATTGTAAGTGGTTTCTCTCTCTTCCTTTGATATACTTTCTACATGGCTGTCAACCAGTTATGTTCACGCGTCATGTATCACCACGTCAAGCACTCGGACTTCTTGAATCTGGTAAGTCTCAAACTTTGGACACTTATCAAGCATACGTGTTTACGCGTGTATTATTCCAGCGCTTCCATTGTATAATCCCACAGACAACTTCTACCGCCATCTAGACCTTTTTGCAGCGTGCAAATATGTTCCAACGCCCAACAACCCCCTTGTCCAAGCATGGATCTCGGGAGGCACTCAGGCCGGTAAGCCTTCCTCAAAGAAGAAATCTACTACCACGACCCGACACGATACATTATTGCTTGCGACCACGACGATGACACTTGCGAGGGAGGCGAAGGTGTTCGATTTTGCAGCCCTCAGCGAGGTGCTGGCACGGTTTCAGTCGACTTCGACGAGCGTGGGCGCTGCGCGCACATAGCTCGGTTCTAGTATTTGCTGTTTAACATGCTTGTTCATTTGATTATACCATTCCCTTGGTTCATGAACAGTTTATCATATCGGTGTCTATCCCACAATTGAGAATCTAGTGTATGTAAAACCCAGGCCACATACTTACCACTTACCATCTACATGTACCAAGCTGAGTACAAGGCCTTTTACGCCTCCTTCCTCGGCATTCCTTCCATGCCCTCTCTAGCGTACCATCACGCACCCTTCCTGTATAACTCTTCCTCTTCCCCAACCATCCCCTCCGTATCGTCGTGCAAGACCTTTCAGGTCCTTTGCGCGCTTACCTAGCCATCGGTAATGTCATTTGAGCAATTTTAATCTTTCTGGTATCCGTGTGTCACTAGCTGCTAGCTTAGAAACCGATGTCACCGTATGGTTGGTGCTGTTGGTACTGGAAGCATACAAATACTCACCCCACAATAGAAACCACTGTTCAAAACCATACAGCGATTACTTGCGAGTGGCCCCGCATTGGTGTCAGCATCCCTGGTTCCCGGTCCAACCTGCAAATATGGCGACGCTCTCTTGCTAAGTTCGTCCCAAACCTCTATGCAGAATCGGCACTACATCAGACCAGCGGCATCAGTCCTGCGTCACGGCTGTGTCAAGCTCCACGTCTAATATCGCAAGGTATTACAATGATCACCTAGAAAAACACTTGACGAGTGACTCTGCAGGTCAACCTTCTCCGTAACTCCATGCCCATAGCGTTTGGATTAAACGCGCACATGCAACCCTTGAGGCCTGCCACCTGACCAAGGTGAGAACACCACTGTACGCCGGTACCTCTTCCCACTTGGTCTGCCGTGCATCTTGGTCCAAACCCCCCTCCTCGAGCTCAACAAGCACGACCGCGACTGACAATGGTTGTTCGAAGGCAGCTGCAACTCCCCCTCCTGGTTCTCTCAGCCGTAGGCAGATCGATCCTCGTGGCATCAAATACCATCCTCTTCAAGCCACACAAGATTGACCTTTTGGAGGCCGAAGAAGTGCATGAGGGGTGTCCGGCGCTCGGTGCATAGTCGATGTGTTCAACGCTCTTGGGTACGTCTAGTAGGATGCGCTCCAGAGAACTCGACGCTCATCTTGCGCAGGGAGCGCTGGACGGCAGTTCCATGATGTTCGGATACCAGCTGCGGCCGTCTGCATAGAATCACCCAGCCTTCTATCAGGCTACCGCTCAAGAACAAATCGAACGAGTGGACAATTAATGTGTCGAGGCTGAAGGTACGAAATTGAGACTTGACGCGGGTGAGAGGTACTGCAATCCGGATGTCCAATACTTGAAGGCCAACGAGACCTCTGGGACAAGATAAAGCGTTGTTGCTGAACAAGGCAGGTGATACTTCCTGCAGGTGCGTGAATCCATAGAGAGCGAGCTCGCTGACTTGAGGAGACGTCGCATGTGTTTCCACGACTTCTAAACATGGTATCTGCTGAGACCTGATACCACTCTTCTTCCTTAGATGCCAGACGCAGGCAAAGCGTCCCGAGGCTAGGATCCAGGCGGCAACGTATGCATGCAGAAAACTATGAGGACCTTCTCCGCATCTGAATCCTCGAAGGTTAAGTACCAACAGCGAGCGCGAAGAAAACCCTATCATAGCATGTACGACTATGCCTCCGAAAAGACTTGAATTCATGTCTCCCAGAACTTGCACCCGAGATGCATATTGCTCGAAGGCCGACCAATCCGCAGTGATTATATGTTTCTGTGGGAGCTGGAAGTTGACATAAAGAGGTTGAGAGGGCAGGTAGCACGTACCAGCTTCCTATCACCTGTCATAGGTCTCCTGCCACAATGAAAAGCGGTTTAAAATTCTCCAGCTCGACCGATAGCACATCTAAGGCTATGTTTTTGAAGGCACGACAAACACGAGATAGAGCAGCTAGAGAACGTCGCGCCACTCCTTCAAGGATTAGGTTGAGATCAGCCGTGATATCAATCATGTAAACGACCGTCCGTGCCCAAGTCAGAGATGTCAGAGAAAATGTATTTTAGAATATCTGGGATGAGGAAGCAGGCATGGTACTCTTTTGTGCGGTGATACCGAAAAAAAAACTGAAGCAGCGCAATGGCAACAGAGTTCAGATTTACGCGGCTAAAATTTGTGTGGATGTTGCAGACACGCGACGGCGTACGTTAACGAATCAAACATAATATTACGCGAAATTCAATGTCAAAGTTCACTCTAGCAGTAAAATGATTGAATATTGTCATGGCACAAATCAATCAATAACTTGTCTCTATGGAATGTATCAAACGGGATTCAAAGTCTGGTAAATCCCAGTGGAGCACACCAGGCCTGCAGTGCCCGTCCACAAATCGCGTCTGCAAAATGACGCATGCGCTTTCACGGGTAATCTCATCTCGCTATATATATGACCTTCCAAGGATTTCATTTTGGCAACAACTGCACCCCGGTTGCAAGGCTCCAATGAACTGATGCAGAAGTTAGAACTCCTCACTTACCACATCTCTGGAGTCTGGATGACCTATAAAAATCCATTCTACCTCGTCGTCAAGTGAGCTACACCGAGGAAGACTCGGGCCACTCCGAGCGAGTCCGTGAGGTAAACAATGAGGATGTGTGCGTTGCGATAATTTGTCACCAGAATATCGATCGAGCGTATCGAGTTTTGGAAGTCTAGTTCGGTCTTCAAGTTGTCGATGCGGCACGTCTTGCCAGCTCACGCGAGGACACTCTCGTGGCCACTTGTATAATCCTCCGAGTTCTCGATCAAGGGGCCTAGAATCAGTCATCACAACTACTAAAAGAGATGTTATGCACATGGTGACTTTCAACTCAGACAAATAATTTGACGTGTTTGACTTACACTGGGTGACCGATGGTTCTACTGACACCGTCTCTCGCTCTGACGGAGTTCCGCGCCCGACGCAGAACAACTCCTTCGCAAGTTACCAGCGCATCATAAGAAGATGATACCCAACTTCGATTATGCGAGACTTGCCTGAAGGATTCAAAGAATACCTATCAGCGCCCGCATGGCATGGACGCAAGAAGCATATTCCATCAAATCAGTTGTGGCAAATCGTGTGTAGGAGCAACTCCTCGGTATCAATACGAGCGATTGTCGCAAGGGTAAATCAATTATGCAAATGGAACAAAGCATACATGGGGGAATGAATTTGAAGCACAAACCAAAGCTTCCTGCCCTCTCGTGGACCAACGCATAAACGTCCTCCGTCGCGGATATTACCACCACTTCCTTCAGACTGGACCGCATGGCTGATCCCATAGTGTGGCTGTTCTGATATCCGCCGGGAAGGATCTGGCCCTGATTGGCGGCGGGGTATGGGGTGTGATTGGGCTGGGGTGAGAGGGGCGCGTTGCCTGATAGGGCTGGGTAATATCTGCCAGGAGGGGGTAATATCTGCCAAGGGGAGGCTGGGTAATCTCTGCCAGGAGGGGTTTAAGTGTTCATTAAAGCAGAGGAACCGGGAGCACAGTTGTAGTACTGTAGATCTAGGGGCTGGGCGGAATAGCTGTTGTACAGCTGTAGGCGAGCATTGTGAGAGTAGTCTCCATACGTAGTATATGGAGCTTGACCGCCGAGAACTGCAGTATACCGAGCCACAGGCAAGGCTGGAGTTAGAGGAGGGCTAGGGGCTTCACTTGCTGCAGCGATGGAAGACATCCAGATTCCCTTTCCACGGATAGCTTGGATGATCGCATACGAGACGATGGTATCGTAGTAGATGAAAGCTAAAAGAAAGATACTTTAGCAAACGGCAATCATTCATGTACTGGAGACGTACCAAAGAATATAATAAACGCAGCTGCCTCCGCTACAGTTACCTCATAAGAAATCTGGCTAGTTGTGGGATCTAGTAATCAGGTGGAAAGAATCAGTCACAGCTAGCATAGACTCCCAATCATTGTAGATACATCCATCAGGGAAATGGTGGGCCGAGCGTGCAACAGTTTGAGCGGTACCGACCCATACCACCCCACAGGACGATCGGGGAGACAGACAGCTAACAAGAAAATCGCCGCAACGTTTAACGCTCGGGACCGAACGTCGAGCGCAACCATAGAGACAACCGCTCCACAGCACACACAACCCCAGAATGATTCAAGCATATTACATATCTCAAGACCAATTCATCTTCAAAAAGTTTATTGGCACCCACAACCGTGACAGCGGAAGAGACAATACATTGAGGAGTGCCACCCACAAGCCTAAATGCAGCAAAGCTCAAGTTAACATTTTACTATCCAGGGACGAGCGACTCGATGCGAGCACAGATGCGCTTCAAGTTAATGACTATGAGAGCCCTACTAAACTAATGGGTACAAAACACGATTAGGTTCAAGGCCCCATCACGGTACAACCACTCACAAAAGATGATGGCACGGAACCGAAAAAGGACAACCAATTTTTTGCCTACAAAATAGCAGACAAAACTTTGAGATAGGCTGAGGCAGGTGAGAGGATCACGAGACAAAGAGCGCGGGGAGGCGTAAGATGACGAAAGTATTTATGTATGCCTTGACGTTGACATCGCTTGACGTAGGGTTGATTGATCGACAAGCAATTGATTGAGCCCTGGTTTACAAGATCCATGAGGTAAGTCACCGCCTCACCAAAATACACAATGCCGAGACCGCGTCGTGACCACTTACAAGGTTGCGCAACAAAACGTAAATGTTGCGTAAGTGAGATCAAAAAAAAAAAGTGAAAACAACTTAAAGTATAGGCACAGCATCAGCGCGCTGATTGATGATTGTGCGTAAGAGGACTCGAAGCGACATCGTCGGTCGGGGGACTCGGGGTTCACGGTAATAAACGGGAGTCGACGGGATCGCACTACAAAAATACACTTGACAACCATAGACCGCCGGGCACCAAAACTTTCAGTCCTAGAGGATAAAAAAACTAGCATGAACATATAGGTGCTAGCGTGCGGTGGCCCGGTGCGACGCAGTCTGGCCCCTTGGAGACATGATGAAGTGAGCTGAGGTGACATCTCACAACGAGGCCTTTATTTAAAGACACTAAGCACACAAATCAGACGGTTAAGCGCTTACGGTGCAATTATATGGTTATTTGCTCTACTTGAAGTTTGGCGGTCACTATACGTCATGCTTTTGGGCGTCTCTAAACTGGTGAACGAAGATCGACGAGGATCCACAGGGGATTGAGATAAAGCCAGGCACTCTGTTGACCTCCATCTTGCGCCTCCAGCCAACCACGCTACGCCCACACGGTCCTTAGAAGCAACGGACGGTTTAAATGCACCGTTTGATGAGAAAGTCGCGTTTATGGCATGCCCAAGACACGCGGTAGACAGGCAGGCAGTTGTTGCTAAGAGAGAAACCTTCTAATCAGAAAGGTAAAAATTCCCATTCAAAGGAAGTAGTCCGCAGGAGGTCGTTTTGCCGGGATAGAGCGTACATCCTAGTGGCACGACATGATCAGATCACAGCGCTGGATGAAATGCAAGATTTCATCCCCGCATATCGCCTTTTGGGGGAGATCAAACCGCAAGGAACTTACCGAGGGCGCATGTTGAAAAACTTTGTATTCTTGAGCAAGGCGTTCATCTAGCTCGAGAATCGAAGCTACATTACCACACCTGTCATAAAACATGATAGGTTACGAAAGCGGAGACCCATGCAGGGTGCCCATTTGATCATAACTCACCGATAACAGTAATTCGGTGCGCTCCACACCGTCACTATCATGTTGTCAAACATGAGCTTATATCCTTCCATGGCCAATTGATGGGCCCGGGCGATGAGGTCAATAGAATTATGGTGCGCGAAGGTTTTGGTAATGTCAGCGCCGAAAAGAAAGCCAGCGCCCCGCGGAGATAGGCCCCATCCAGTTATATCTGTTTGAAAGAAAGACATATTGTGTGAGCAGACATTGCCATCGAGCATGCCTAAGCAAGACTTAAGGAGATACATACCGTCTGGATCGGACCAAAGGAGGTCACACATTGGACCATCATGGGGGACTTCCTGTTTTCGATCAATAGCGCGTATCTAAAGGCAGAGCTAAGAAACGCGTGCGCGACACGGAGCAATGTAAACATAGTAAACGCACCTGATCAATGGCCTGCAGGTTTGGACTCAGTCCGCCATGGACACAGAAAACTCTGCCGTCCACGATCGCGCCCAACGCGAGATAGTCGAACACCTCACAACACCATCTCCACACGTTGGTACTGCCATATTTTCTCTGACATTCGTCGTAGAACCCATATACCTGTGTGATCTGTCGTGACTCGTGGTTGCCCCGGATTAACGTAATTCGTTCTGGATAGCGGACTTTGAGGGCCAGGAGGAGCAGAAACGTTTCAACACTGTAGAAGCCGCGATCCACGAAATCACCTGTGACAACGGGACATTAAATATTCGACGGCCGATTGAAACGCACCAGGGCGCTGTACTTACCCATGAAAAGGTAGTTCGTCTCCGGGCAAAACCCGCCTACCTTGAATAATTCCATAAGATCAAAGAACTGCCCATGGATATCGCCGCAGATCTTAATCAGAACAGCAGAATAAGTATTAGCCTAGGAGAGGATGGAATCGAATGCGTTCACCGTCACAGGAGAGTCCACGACCTGGACATTTGCTTCTTCTATTAGGATCTCACGGGCCTTGAAGCAAAGCCGTTTGACCTGTTCCTCGGATATGGGTTCACATCGTGTAAGCTGGTCTATTTGCCTGTAAGATCAATGGGCGAGAAGTACGCAGCGGCCGGACGTGTGTCGTGCACATTGGATAACGCAATGCACAGAAGACGGTTTTTGATCGCCAAATACACGTTGTTGCGGTACTTTGAGAACAAGTTGTGACAAAAAAAAGTGAGATTCTCACCTGTCGAGATCGCTGGGCATTGCAACCTATCTGATAGACCGTCGACTCGGATGGGCCTTCGACAACAAGTTGTAGTACGTGTGCACCGTGGGAACAACGTCACATCAAGGCACTGTTATTGCCTCAGTACTGCCACGTCAAATCGGCTCGGAATCCACGATGCAATTCCTATGAACAACATAATGTACAAAGTATGTATATGCAGTTTAGATACGCAGGTATATGGTATGTGTGCAGTGGCGGCGTGGTACCAAGCAGCGTAACAACTGCTCTAGAGATAGCAGAAAATGCACGATAGTAATCCATACACGAAACACAGACGTCGACGGGAGCAGAAAAAAATCCGGTTACGAGACAGCTATAAAATACGAAATTTACAACAGCAAACATGAAACAAGGTGTTATACATAGCCCGTTGAGGGCCGCGCTCGCAGAACGTTATCTGCCTTCCAAGCGCTTTGACCCAGGCCGACATGCGGAGCATGATAAGGATATGAACTCGGCACTTGTGAATGATGTATGTATGACAGTGAGGCGGGCGGTGTTATTGAATGATGCATCTGAGGAATCCTAATGTCCCCACGAAGCACCCTCTCGTCCTGGATCGGCGCTAGAACTGGCGGTGGCGAGTCGTATCTCGGTATGCTTGAATGATGCGACATAAGAGAGTGACTATATGATCCGTGGACGACATTGTTTTGTGTGTTCATATAGCTGCTGGATATGTTTGAATGATCGGAGACAGGATCCAATATCCCAGGACCGTTTTGGTATGATGCAACTTCGTGCGAGTCATCCCGGTAGGCTGAGTAGTTGGGCGTAGATATTTGGGAGTGCGGTGAGACGGAGTGCGGTGATTCCGGAGATGGCGTGCTGACTGCCTGATACTGTGTAGGATAGGAGTGTGGATGCGAGATGTGTGAAATTGAGAGACGAGATGATACAGACGAAAGGTGAGCGGACGACTGCGGAGAGCCATCGTGAACATTTTCCATGGGTGATTGATGAAGAGAGGAAGAATGAATACGCGACATGGATGGCTTCTCGCCGTATGCCTGAGAATAGTCGTATGAGTGATCATGCACAGCATGTCCACTGGAAGTCTGCGAAACACCCGCTGGGACGTAGCCGTAATTAGCTTGCGAGGATTCATCATAGCTTGGCGTGTTGTCACTGTAATGTGACTGGATTGGTGATGAATGCGATGCGACTTGACCGTTGGACATTGACTGAGAATGTTGATTGATCATTGGGAAGGAGTTGTCGGGAGGTGTTGGCGATCTACTTGATACACTTCCAGAATGCAGGCTATCTGAATATGACGGTACAGAAAATGCTTGTACCAAAGGTGGGGGTGAGTCGGGCGCCGGGGGGATTGCGTGCTCGAGTGCCGGTGGAGGAGAGGGAGTATCCGACGAATTGTGGTCAGAGGACATCAATGAGGATGCGGTTCGGCTATTTTTTGTGCCAGAACCGCTAATGCCCACGGCACGGGCGATCGCAGCACGCGTTGCGGAGCTTGAGCTCCGTCGTGAGCCAGGGGAGAGATGAATGCGGTAACTGTAGAAGAAAGAAGAAAACGAAGCTCAGTTGTTGTGCATGAAATGGAGCGAGAAAATGAGTTGAATAGATCGTGGTGATAGAATCAAAATGGTGCACTTGCTGTGTGGCACCGATAGTACGGCAATAATAGACGTAGCGGCCGGCGATAAAGAATAGAAGAAGTACTCACTGTTGCTGTAAGTTGTCTTGCCTAGAACAACGTGTTTCGCATCCAGGAAAGGGACACTTATGATTGCGTTCACCTGTGTGAACGCGGAGGTGTCGGGCAAGGTGGCCACTGGTAGTAAAGCCACGGTCGCACGTCGGACAGACGTGCTTTTTCTTTCCATTAGCCGCCGCAGAAGATTGGGAAGACTGAGAAAGAGAAGAAGGTGCTGTTGGTGACTGTGGGGAGTGACCTGCCGACTGACTAGAATCAGATAGATACTGTGCAGAAGAAGAGTATTGAGTAGAATAGATCTGAGAACTAGCAGAATCATGCTTTGAAGTATGACGGGGCATATGGGCAAAAAAGCAATTTGCAGGGGTGGGGAGGAAACGGAGGATAGGAATGTACGGATTGCGGAGGAACTGGAGAACAGGCTTTTGAGGAGAAGAAGTGTCGAGGCAGTGACGCCCAAGAGGAAAATACGTAAAAAAGTGCGGTCGCACCAAATAAATGTTCTGATATTTGTTATATTGATAGAATCCAATGGGGAGAACCTCAATTTTATTTCAATTGAGGGCTACGTTTAGACTTTGGAATTGACATTTCGTAACATACAGTTGTTGATAATCACTTGCCGTTTCTTCCGGAAGCGTACCAAAAACAGAATATTAATTTCGGAGCGGATGCAGTTTTAGACAAAACTTCCGGGGTTGATCACCGTCGTCCTGCAGATTCATATCTCATTTATTATATGCAAGCTTCTATAAGATATACTAACTTGCACTGGATTGTCCTCGATGCTTGCATGCCTGACCATCGTCTTCCTTTTGATCAGTCTATACTAAGGTTGAGTTCTGCCAGATCAACCGTGGAATAGACGCCTGGACTGACATTTCTTCCTCGCCCACGTGAGATAGTATGTTTGTTGAAATCCCGCACACTCTCCCCCCAAACTTCGTATCTTTACGCACAAAAAAACCGCTTCACGCAATTCAATTTCTGTCCCCAGGCACCGTTATGAAAATGCTCTTTTCGGGACCGTCCAGACCATCCATTTACGGTTTCGATCGCGATCAACCAATGTTCGCAACAACTTAGTAAGCCCTTCTCGTCATTCAACACACGGTAATCGGCTGAACACTGCGCCCTCTCTGAATGAACCAAAAGTCGCTCGGGTTGCCAGCTTACCATGGATACTAAATTACATCCTTCTGACCACTAGTGCATCCTACCACTCCACAAAAATGTCATGCAAAGTTACAAGTTCATAACAACTTGTCATAACAGGTCGCCGTTGACTTCGCTGATCTCTAAAACATTAGTGTTCCGTCTGCTTCCGTTCAACGAGTTGCAGCCAAGGAAGGCATCTTTGACATAATTAAATAGCAAAAGCAGTTAGTCGTCGATAGGTTGAGTGATCGTCACTGAAAATTCTCTCACACTTGAGGTTCATCTCTGTCCAACGCCACAAGACTGCCTTTCTCTGATAACAGGCGCCGAACTCTACTATACCATGGTTGAATACACAACACATACTGCCAGTGACAAAGAAGCTAGCTCAATTGATCATATGCTCGGCCCATCAGTCACCATGTCGGTCGACGACGTCCCGTGCACTCCCGTGCAGCTTCCGGATGGATCACGCATGTCAGAAGTCAGAAGACCACTCCAACGTCACTTACCAGATCCGCGACCGTTAAGCATAAGATGAGAGCAACCCTGAAGGAGTTAACTCTGTTAAGGTCCACCGTGCCTCGCGCTTGTGTAGTATGTCTCACTCACTCAAACTGTCGTACGACGGAAATCATTCCGTTTTAGCGGTTCGGGGACCATTGCGGACGCGCCAATTACTACCGGGCCTGTCCTCAATCACGTCGCAGCCTCGGAATCTGGAACAACCGTTATGTACATGATCTATACCCACGCAGAGACAAATTATGATGGATGGCATGTCAGGGGGTCATGCGAAGTGGGTGCATCGCCTTGCGGTGCACTAAACAAAGATAAAATGAAAAGGATAGTTGACTGAACTCCTTGATGCGGGATTGGCACATTGAACGAAGGAATGATAGACGGCGTTCAAGGGACCGATCCAGGGGCTTACGAGACCATCTCCGACCATTGTAGAGCGGAGCCGTTGCGGGACCTGGTCAACGAACGACACAAAAAAAGTCTCTCATAACAGAACGTGACATGCATACCTCATATGATAAAAATTCCTTATAAGTGATCAAACGCTTGCCTAAAAGTAACCTGGTGTCAGAAACTTGACTTATCATCCAGAAAAAAAAATCGCAGTTCCGTACATGCCGAAACCCGCAAAAAGCCTATGACGGTTACTTTCTTGACAGCGTCTGTCTCCGGCAGCAGACAGTCAATATGACCATCATAGTAGTAAGCCGTGGCTTGAGAAAAGTCTTGATGGAGAGCTCCGTCAGAGACGAAGTCTTGGAACACATTAACTGTTTGGCTTCAGTGACTTTCTGATGCTGATGCTGATGGATGAGTGCTTCCTTGGCAGCGCTTGGTCAAAGGTGGGATAATAACAGATTCTACAGCAGTAAATCACCGCAGTACGAGTTGGACTCACCGAAACCAATAACACTGAGCCAGCTGTCCTCTGCGGACCAACATATTAATTTTAGTGTCGCCGTAGTTCCTTATCTGATTGAGACAGGATGGCTTCGAAAAGACCGCCTTAGCGCAACTAACCTTCTGACAGATAAGAACTTTGCTTCTGGCAGTTCACCGCGAAAACGTACAAGAAAAAAATTCCCTTCGTACTCCATATATGGTGATTATCATTCAAACTTTCGTTGACGTCGCGCAACGATAGGATAAGGTTTCGAGTGAAATACCCATTTGGGATAAAAGTCAGGCATTCCCCGAGGCGCTAAAACTCGTTGAATATTCTTCCACAGAAGCTCAATTTAATTATAAATGGAGCCAGTACGTTGGGAAGGGCGGGAAGGCGCGCGATCCCAGAAGGCTATGCTCTTGATCTTCAGGGCAATAGAGTCGCTTGGCCATCATGATGGCCCGGACAATGTAATGTAAAGTTGGCAGTGGCTGAAAAATCTATTGCCGGGTTCTCGAGTGGCGTAATCATTTCTCTCGAGACTTCGAATAGCGAAAAAATCGCATGACGGCAAGCACAGCCAGTCGCAATCCACTATGAATGCCTTCAACCGTGACGTTAGCAGAAGCCGCGATACTGCCCTCGCAACCACAACGTTCGCCATCATAACTAGCTCATGATAATAGCACCAGGTACATATAAATCCTACAAAAGCCATGAGGATAAAATGAAGCAAGAATCAGGAAGAAAGCTCAAGATCATGGCATCGTATCAGCTCCCAATCGGCTTCCCCACCTTCAAAGCCGTTGGTAAAAGCGTGCGGGGCTTCTTGTTTTGCATTACGATGCCAGATTGGCTCTCACCCAAATCTAACCCTATACACCCTACAGCTTAGAATAGACGAATGGGCTTGCCCATCGTACTCTTGATATGCAGAGACGAAACATTTTGCCAGTTCTTCTTGAGAAGCGAAACGAGGAAGTTGATGCCTACGACAGCGTGAGAGGCAGTTATCGTAGCATGACAGTAAAATTCATACTCATCATGACGTTCGCAAGAACTTGGTCATCAGTCATCTGGACATGTCCGACGGCAACACCCAAGCAAAGAACCTTCTTCAGCTGGAACTTAATCGTCGATCGGACTTCGTTGAGCTTGTTCGCTAGATCCTCAGCATGAGAGATAGGAGTAGGGAACTTTCCGGCTAGTCGATGGAGTTTAAGGCGTGAGATATCCCCGGACAAACACTAATTGATTTCACCTTTAGAGAGACCGGGTCCAAGAAGACGAGGTATCTGCTTGATCAAGGCTTCAGAGGCCAAGAATGCGTCATACTTCTTGGCAAGTTTCTTCACAAGCTTCTTATTCTTGTTCAGTCTAGCGAAATTAGATCAGAAATGATATCAGGACAGACTTGGCATTACTCACTTTTTCAAGTCGTCAACCGACTTGTACTCGAGTTCAATTTGCTTGGCGCGATCAATGTCAGCAGCATCAGCAAGAATGCAGATGGACATGCGCGGGCGAGGGACATTAGGCAGCCTGAGATATTGTCAATGACGACGCGTCATACTTGAGGGGCGGTACACACTTGACGGTACCAGAGAAACGCTTGTCCTTTTGAGTGTCGTAGTTCTTGAGACCAATTTGAAGTTCGATAGTTTCCACAAAGTTGCGTCTTTTCTCGCCGTTGGCTTCAGCCAGAAGGTCCTTGACGGAGCCCCGCACGCTTGCCACTGATAGCTTACTATGTGATAGTTAGAGACGATGGAATCAAGAATTGGAAAACTTACGAGCTCATGCTTGTTTTTTTGAGGGGGTGGGTCTTGAGGATGATATGAAACAATAAGGTTCAAGTGGCGGAATACATATACAGTGTGACATGCTTACGTGATTACGCGTGAAGTGTGACGACTGGAAACCTGGTCGGCTGCATCTAGTACGTCTCGCGAGCGCGAAGTCTCGGATCACTATTTGTGATGCTATTATCAATACCCCATGTACGTGAACTATAGCTTGCAAAACAGTATCTGCGGCTATGCAAATCTTGTGAGCTTCAGGCAAAAACCAGACCGAAAGATCGCTAATTCATTTCACATTTTCAGGCACATCAATCTACTTGTTGTACGACACTGTTGAGAACTAATAAGTCTGTGCACAGACGGCATCCGAACAGACCTCCAATGGACCAGTAATTTACGGGAGGACAGAGGAGGACAGCAGTCGAGTTGACAACGCCATTTGGAATTGATCAGGCCTGGACACCGCAACTCAGGCCACTCAACAATTTAATCATGTCTAATATATTCGGCGTTCTGTTCGGTATCGCACTTTCATTACTTCACGGACATTTGCTATAAAATATGAAACTCGACTGACCTCTCTAACTTATCGAGCCATGCTTGCCATCGTTCTGCTGCTTGCTCTGCCATTCTGCGCCGCAGAGTCAGCATCCAGTTACGCCGGATCAACCGTCGCGGATTCTTATCCTCCCCCCGGTGCCACCAACACTGCTGTTGACACTTACTTCCCGGATGCATCTCGAGTCGGTTATGCAGGTCCAACGCCTAGTCAGTGATAATCGATAATGTGATTCCTGTGTTCTAATAATAATAAAATCAGCTGGTGCTGAACCTGCGGCCATCGTCACTGCAGTCCCGTTCTCTAAGGTGGAAGACGTGTTTCCCTTGTCGAGGCCTAATTCGGCAGACGGCGCGGACATCACTTTTAATGTGATGCGTCAATGGGGCAACTTTGCGCCCATGTACTCCGTGGAGTCATTTGGTCTTCCTGATGCATCCCCCGTCATCCCAGAAGGGTGTGGCATCAATGCAGTGCATCTCTTGATGCGCCACGGCGCCCGTTATCCAGCTTCCGACGAGCCCGGACCTTCTCAGTTCGCTTCTAAAATTCATGCTGCTGCATCGAAAAAAGGTTTCAGTGCCACTGGTGATTTGGAATTCTTGGCAACCTGGACATATAAGCTGGGTGTAAATAACTTGACCCCTTTCGGCCGTGAATCGCTGTACGTTCGCTCTCCTTGACGATACTTCTACTGACGCTCCTCTCCATCAGCTTTAGCAACGGGGTTGCCTTCCGCTACAGATATGGCAAGTTGCTTAATGCCTTCACCGACCTCCCGGTATTTCGTACTACTTCACAAGGTTTGCCTGCATCCAACGTTTGTTTCACAATGCCCTCTGATGGTTTGCTTATGTCCTATAGATCGCATGTTGGATTCTGCGTGAGAAATTCATTCATATTTCTGCGTGCGCTGTGCCTAATAATGCTATCCGTAGCCTGAACTTTGCTGCAGGCTTTTTTGAGCTCAGAACCTACGAGACCGACTATCACCAGGAGATCATCATCGAGGGGATCAACTTCAACAACACCCTCGCTCCTTTTCAAGTGTGCCCCAATGCCAATTCGGATGATATTGGTAGCTTCGGTGACACTAAGGCTAGTAAATGGGCGGATATTTATCTCCAAGATGCTCGAAAGCGCTTGCAACCAATGATCCAAGGACTTAATTTGACTATTGATCTATTGATTGACATGCAGGAACTATGCGCCTTTGAGGTAGTCTCATCCTTCACGCGGACTTTCTGGATTTCTGACATTTTGCAGACCGTGGCCCTCGGATATTCCAAGTTTTGCGACCTTTTCACTGAGGAAGAATGGGAAGGATACGAGTATTACGTCGGTATGTTCCCTCAAATGATCCTTGCTGGGCTCGGCACTGAACTCTATCTTCAGATCTCGGTGAGCACATTGAGTGGTAAACTTGCAGCCTGAGTGACTAACTTATGACTTGATTGTAAACGAAGATTTCTGGTACAGCTGTGGACCAGGCAATCCAACAGCAGCAGCGCAGGGCCTTGGCTACGTTCAGGAACTAGTGTCGCGTCTCACTCACACTCCCATCAATGTCTGGAACAGCAGCACCAACAGCACTCTTGACTCGAGCAACATCACATTCCCTCTTAATCAACCCATATACGTGGATTTTACCCACGACGTAGTCCTTGCAAGTGGTATGTTGCCACTTCCTTTCCAATACAAGACTACTGACGGAAGGGCTCAGTCGTCACTGCTCTGAACTTTACTAGTCTAGCTGCAACCGGTCCTTTGCCAGCCGACCATATACCCCCTCACCGAGTACGCAGTCTCATAGACCACCGCTTGTCTGTATTTCTGACCAGCCACATCAGTCTTACATTTCTAGCCAGATTGCACCTTTTTCCGGCCAGCTCGTGGCTCAGGTGCTAAGTTGCCCAGCTTCAGAGGAACCAACTCATATCCGGTTCCTCCTGAACGACGGTGTGGTGCCACTGACGGGCATTCATGGTTGCACGGAAGATTCAAACGGACTCTGCGCGCTGCCCAGCTTCATCAGCGGGATGCATGAACGAATTGGACAGATCGACTTTGCGCATGATTGCTTCGCCAATTATACCATGCCTGATCCCGACAGCATCATGGATGGAAGATGTCCTAGTTAAAAGGATGGTGGAGTGTGGTCGTATAAACCCACAAGTTGCCACCTTTTGGAGTGTGTTAATGATGTCGGAAAGAGGTAGACGACGCGCATTTCGTACTTGACGAGCAGGTTTCGTTGTTACATACAAGACCGCATTTATATATAGAGGGCACTGATCAGGATGATGTATACGCTGCCAATACGTGCAGTACGGAGGTTCATATGGCAATATATTTGCATATTTATTAATTATTATTTGCGCGCTACGCGTTTTCTCAATCGAGAGCTTGCGCGTTTTTTATTTGAGTTCCCGTGTGTGCGCACTGCGCGTGTTCACAGATTGACAGTTTTGTCCGTACACTGGTCCTCCAAGTTGGTTGCAACCTGATGACCTTCCGAGTCTGTTGCTGCTGTGCATTCATGTTCGAAATCTGGGTCAACTGGTTACTAGGTCTTTCGCAAATCTATAAAGTAAGAGAGAGAGGGTATTTACTCGTTGTACGACACGATGTTGAGAACTCACTTGAATGCACAGACCCGAACAGACTCTCCGGGAGGACGCAGCATGCCGGTGACCCGGAGGCTGCGGCCAAGAGATCACTAACGTTTCATGTTTACATTTTCAAATACGTCAATTTACTCTCGGCGACGACACGTCCAAGACAAATCCAAGACACAGACGGGAACCGAACAAACCCGGAGGATGCGGCATGCCGGTCGGAGGCTGCCGGAAATACGAATTCCCAGACTTTCTGGACAATCGGACATATCGAGCGCCTTCGGTGTCGACTACTAGTCACAACAACTTCACAGGGCGCTGACAAGCAATATGCTCTCTGTCCGTTCCTTCTAACCACCAACGTTAAATATTCAATCACTTATCTCTTTATTTCGTTTTTTTCTTCCTTTGTTGTATACCTAGTCATTGTGGTGCGTGTCTTCTTTTCATTCTACAGCTGTTCTGACCGAGTCACATCTCCATTCCAAAGATATGACAGAACCTTGGGCTTCCCAGGGCGGGACGCCGCTGTAAGCCATGTTTCTCCTTGTGGTAAAGCAAAGTACTAAGAAAAATAAAGATATGATACCCCTGAATCTGATCTAGCATCTCTTTCACCTCGGACTGCACTGCTATCGCCTCCCTATGAGAACGCCGAGCTAACCAGACCACGCCGTATCAATGGCGTCCCCAACAACAAATTCCGTCACGAGCGCGAGCGCGTTCACGCAGCCGCGAGCGCTCGTGACCTCTTACGACTCTTAGTAAACGAGGAGTACGAGGCGAAGCAGACTCGCAAAGTGCTCTATACAGCATTGGACAGGTTGGACGCCGAAAGTCGTCGTGCTGAAGAAGCAGAAACCCAACTAACAGAGGCTTTGGAACGGACGCGGTCTATCAACGAGGCTCGCGTTGCTGCCCAGCAAGAGGCAGCTCGGTCGCAGGAGGAACTGAGGCTCTACAAGCTACAACTCGATAACGCGCAGAGAGAAATTCTTAGAGCCCAAGATATATTGGGAGTCATTGAAGCCCAGAGGGATGACGCGGAGGCTGCCGCCGCTGACGCGCGCTCAAAGGCTCGAAAATTGAATGAAGAGCGCTTGATTGAGCTCGCAAGGGAGGAGGGTCGCAGGCTCGGGTATGAAGAAGGCATACGGCGCGGTCGTAACATGGGTTACCGAGAAGGGCGCGTCGTTATTGATGACGGTCGGTCTCCAATGCGAGAAGCCGCTGCCGCTACCCTCTCCGACTCACGGGAAGAAGCAGAGGTAGCTCCTGTAGTTTTACCTCCTCAGCCTGCACCAGCCATACCCATGCCAGAAAGTCGAACCGCACCAGAAGTCCTTCGTGTTTCAACACCTGTATCAAGTTCGCTTGATGGCCGTCGTGACTCTCGTTCTCGTCGTGATTCCGAATCTGATTCGGCCAGTCGAATGAGCATGCGCGCTCCTGAACCCATAGTAATGCCTGTCATGGTTGAACACCCGCGGATTAGGACAGACCCCTCCGTTGCCAGTCAATCTTCTCGTTCGCATTCACAACCCCAACCTTGGCCCATGTCAGATCGTTCTTCAGCTCGGTCACCCTCAATAAACCCAATCTCAGTGCTAAACTCTGCATCTAGTGTTCAGCACTCAGAGTTCCAAGTCCCACCGGACGGCTACATACCAACCCTGGACAAGGACCAGCGCATTCTTCTTCCTCCCCCGCACGAACTTATCCGCAATATATCTTCACCGACACCGTCACAACCTGTCGCTGGCCCGTCCTCAGATTCTGTCAGAACGTTCGACTATCCTCGCCGTGCCTCTCCGGAGTCACAAACGTCAACGAAGATGTCTATGTCTCAATCCTCCACCATGTCAGCGCTCGAGATTATCGGCCTGCCTAATATGACGAGCCGCGACAAACGTCGAGAGCGCAACGGTCTGAGTATCATTCATGAAGATGCAAGCATCGCAGCCGATCATGAAACCGTGACTGGATCTGATGCAGGATACCATCACCATCACAGCGAAAGACGCAACGAAAGAGACACAGACAGTGACGCTACCAGGCACTCGCGGAGAGACCCATCAAAGCAGAGGCTTGCCGACGAGCTTAGATGGTCTAACCCAGCCGAGCCTGAGGAATGGCGTCGATATGGCGCAGAAAAGGTTTGCTTTTATACTACATGGAACGCGGTTTGAGTTGACGAGGGACACAGACTCGCACGCAAAGTTCTAATGGTCCCCCCCGTCCTCGCCCGACGAACGTGACAATGCCCAACCCACTTTCTCCTTTAAATTCGGATGACGCTAACACGCCTCTGCCTCGGCATCAGCGACATTCCAGGACAATATCCACTCCTAGTCAACGAGGATCGAATAGATATGACCACCGAAGAGTCGTATCATCAGACAGCTCTGTCCCTGAAATAACCATCGAGCCCCCGGTAAGTGTCATTACTCTACCCTAGATAAACGCTAAAGCTAAGCCTTGACAGTCCCGCCCTCCCTCTGACGCTCCATCCAGACATGCGTCCATATCTGGACTACTCAGTCCCGATCACGCCAATCACCCGCTCCCTGTGCCTGTGCCTGTTTCGCAACGCACCCCACTTGTTCCTACAGTTCCTAACACTCCCGTTTCAGCGCCTGTCTCGTTGGTAGGGTCCATGTATGACATAGGACAGCTGCCAACCGGTGCACCGCATCCAGGGGGTCCTGTCATTCCGTATATGAATGAGAGAGAAGCACCCTCGCAACGTAGTTCGCTTTACACAGCCGCCCAGGCTGAAGGCAGGCGGTCGCAGACCCCCCAATCTTACGTGGCCTCCCCAGTCCCCACTGGTATTTCCTACCCCGCACCGCCTATTTCCAGGCAACCGACGCCAAACGGCTCCGTACAGCGTGGAGGCAGTTCCTCGACGCATGAACGCCGGCCGAGTCTAAGCCAGATGGCGGGAATAACGCCTGGCGCACACCCGCGGTCTCTACAACCAAGCGGCGGCGAGACTTCGCGTTCGTCCCACAGACAACGGTCAAACGCATCAAATAGCTCGCACCAGTCATTTTCGCATTATGACCCAGGCGTGTACAATGACCCTGCATATTTGGCGAGTAGCGAGTCATTGGTTTCTCGGACGGACGTGAATACGGCTGCGAATGCGGGTGGGCCGAGGAGGACCTCGTAGATGGCCATTACGTTCCCTCCATTTTGACATGGGAATACTCGAACGACTTGGATGATTTTGTGTCGCTCGGACTATCTTTCTTGTTGAATCTTGAGCATGATATCTATTGTATCGCGAATCACTAACACCGAGTAATCAATTAACTAGTAGGTCTGCATATCCGCCGCTGTTGTCTTCACCATTGCATTTCAATATGAATCAATTATATCATCATCAGGACGTCCGAGGATCGTGTCCCTGAATTAACAAACTGCTTGTCATCATTTACCTCTACTTTTCCAAAGAAACGTACCTTTGAATCTATCCGATATCGAGCTCGACCGACTCAAGTCAGGACTCCTGCCACTGCGCCAGGACCCTTGGCGCTTCCGAGGACCTGCGTCAGACCACCACATCCTATACCGTATTTCGACAGTCCACCACTTACTTTATGCCCTTCGCAGCCTTTGCTTCCAGTTTACGGAATGGTTCGTATATCCCTAAACGTAGGCGCTCGGCTAGCTGGCGCTAAGTAGACTCAATAGCGGATTCAGTTCCAGTTGTCCGCGAGCAGCTCTCGACATTCATAACGCAGCTCAGGGCCAGGCCTGCCTGGCCGATTCACGCCAGCCACGATAAAAGAAACATTTACAGATTGGTACGCATCATACGTAGACGACAGCCATCGGTCCAGTCCCTGAGGCCTGAGTTCCAGCGGACAACAAAAGTTCGTGCTTCTCTTGCCACACGGGGATATGTAATACTCAGGTATAGGGGCGTGCGATTTAAACCACTCTCTTCCATCGATAACCGTCTCCCATCTCCCATCGATAACCACATCAGTGAAAATGGACTCGGACGCCTCATCAGTTTCCTCGAACTCAGAGCCAGAGCATGAGCTCTCCGTCTTTGAGCGCATCGGGGAACATCTCGATTCTTTTTCCCACTCTGATGTAGCATATAAAGTGCAAAGAGAGACCAAGCTCACACGTGCGCTCGACAGTCTTGCCTGCAGTCCGTTCGTGTCCTTCAAGAGCCCGGTAGGGACAGCCACATTTAAGCTGCTCGTCAAGGGAGAAGACGCGGGGACATGGATGAACCCTGACGTCGGCGTGTTACAAAAGCACGCCACTCCTTCGCCTTTCGGCAGGGGAGCAGAGACCGTCTTGGATCCAACTTACAGGAATGGAACAGAGCTCAAAGCGGACGAGCTCGCTTTCAGTTTGCAGGGGGATCAGGGATCACAATATGAGCTGTTTGTGAGCAAAGTCGAGGATGAAATCCAGACGAGCATGTTCGTCGGGAGAAACGTTTTCCTCAAGTTATACAAGCTTGCCATATACGGTGAAGGAGGCCATTTCGACTGGCATCGTGACTCGACGCATAGCGATGCTCATCATGGAACGGTGCTTGTCGCACTCAACACGGAATGGGAGGGAGGAGAGCTTATGATGAGGCATCAAGGCGTCGAGACAATTGTCAACATGCATCCAACAAAGCATCTGAGAAAGTCCGTCGAAGAGCTCCGGCCAAATGTGGTCGCATTCTACACAGATACAGAGCACAAAGTCATGCCCGTGACCAAGGGCACACGTCTAGTGCTCCAGTATGACGTCGAAGTCGTCGAGCAATCGTCTCGATATCGGATTAAACCACCTAGTTACACTCCCATGCAACAAGCTTTTCTTCGTCACCAGCACATTGAATCCCACATCAACACTTATCCCAACTTGGACCAGAAGTTGGTGCAGGCTGTCGTTGATGAAATCAGAGAATTGCACAACGGAGGCGTTACTGTCGTCGCTTTCCCGCTCACTCATCTCTACCGCAAGGCAAGCGTGAAGAAGAAATACCTCAAGGGAACCGACTCGGCGCTTTTTGATGTCCTCGGGAATCATTTCAACGTCGTCCTCCATCCTGTTCTTATCCGCGCCAACGAAGATGGCGATCATCTCGACTGTGTAGAGCGGTTCTTTGCACACAAGTATCAACCGTCTGAGGAGAATGAAAAAGAGCCTTCTTCGAGTCGTGCTAAGAGACAGGGGGGCAGAGTTTTCAAGAACGCTTCGTTCTATCTTCCACGGGTCTGTGCAATTCTGCAGCTTTCGTTGCCAAACGGGGCACATTTTGGTAATGATGCACAGATCAGTGGGGAGGCAAGGTATTACGGCGCTGGCATGTTTGTAGAACCAAAGCGCGAAGAGTAATGGTGTTCAGGGGATCTAGTTTCGGTATAAAGAGAAATCCGCGTTTAAATCAGGACTGTTCGAAAAGAAGAAGTGTACCAGTACTAGCAGTAGGAGGAATTCACAGTGAATTATGACTCGATGATCATCAACGAAACAAGGCGGCAGACCGAGAATCATTTGACCTGTGACACTGTCATTTTGAAAGCAACTATTCAAAATACATAGTATATGTTGACATCAACACGGCATATTCATCTAGTATATCTGGATCCTTGGCCAGGCGCGTGCGAATGCAGGGATCAACCTTGGTTGCGCAAGATAAGTATTTGTGTAAGTACGTCCTTCGATGCGCGACATTACACTGACAGGAGTCGCCAATCGGATCGACGTAATCAAAAGTGAGGATAACCCTCCTGAAATGAAGTATGGTAACTCATTCTTCCAGCGCAGTGTATCATTTGAGAGCAAGTGCTTGAGCTGATGGTTGTATCAATTAATGATCCAAGGGAAGTGAATTCGCGTAATTGAAGGCCTACCTTACTCATCCAATGATGGACACTTTCTGGCGTGATTGAGTGGTCCGGTGCTAACTACGAGATCTGCATTGGGGCATGCGCAAAGGTGACGATAGCCGTTCCTACAGGAAAATGGACTGTCAGGCTCGTACAAGGTTTTGTATTGCAAGAACTGGTTCAAAATGCAGGTATTCATGAGATCTAGAGTTGTGTAAGTAGTGTCCGAGGTCATGCTAAGCTTAGGATCGTCGACGTTCGTTAGTACAGTCGGGGATCGTTGGTAGGGCATCATCACGTTCCATAGTTCAAACCGAAGACTCATGGACGCCAGGAGTATGAGCACGAACGTCTTAGATGAAGACTTGGTACCGAATTTCGTGAGATGATAATCTAGCGGTGCATTTGTGAGTGTGGAGTTCTCGTTAGGAAATCAGTAATATTACGGGACAGGACAGACCTTGAGACCAGATGCGCACATGAACAAGCCTTCAGGGCTCTGTGAATGGTACAGCCCGCCATAGTCCACAGTCATGGTCGGGGTATGTGCAGTTTGTTTGTTTATAGGGAAGTTGCACGGCTTGATGAGATGTGGTATGTGAAGGATGGATGAGGATCGAGAAACAACTGCATGTATATAAGTATAAAGCTAGTCAGTATATAAGCACCATAGTTGAAATGGCAATGCGAAAGGCGCAGTGTCGGGGAGTGTTGGAACTGGCCTGGGTGCCAATGCGAACGCGGAGAGTCAACTTGAATATTGATGTTGGAATACCGACTTCTACCTCTTTCCCTCAGTCTAACTTCATCGTCTAGATTCGACACGCTCGCATTGAATTCTCGGCAATGTCCGCATCTGAATCCAAAAACATATAGTTGGACACACCGGGGAATTCACCGACACTGCTAATCGCATCAGCAATGACCAACAAGGCAATGAGAACGAGAACTACGCGGGCCCTACCCAAGAGCGAGCGCACGACTGAATTTAATTCGTAAGCAGCCTCCCAGCGGCTCCACTTGCTTGCGTCCCTCCCCGAGCTAACGCTCGGACCAGCTCAACACAATTAGGTCGAGCCTCCGACTCTTCCTGAGCCAGACGAAGCTGGACTACTAGCTATAGTGAATAGGCTTGCATCTGTTGACCCGAGGCATCATGTCGTGGACTTGGCGTGCTTATAACGTATCTTTGAGCACTGACCATGACACTGACAAGTCTTCCACACGGTGTTTTATACCGTGCCTGTCCTTTCTTTCTGTCCGCGAAATCATCTGCCTTCCACTGATAAGAAATTGCTCATCATTTGCTCATCATAATTTCATACTGATTGTGCTTGTAATGATTGATATAGGTGTGCAAAGACCTTCGCTCCTCGACATTCCACACGGCCATATGGCACGATACATATGAAATGCAAAACTTCCTCGTCCCCTCTGACCACTCGACTCTCAGTCTCGCGAGCTCTTAGAATCTAGCCTCGTAGTCGGCGGAAAGTGGAACAAGCGAGCCCTCACAATAATTTCCAAGCCCATTTGGTTTGAGCTCGAGTGGTCGGCCTTGCAAGGAGATCATTGAGAAGCGATACTGGCTTATGGCTTGTCATCCCGCACATTAGCAGCCCCAACAACCTTGGCGCTCCCGAGGACCTGCGCCTGACCACTCATACTACACCGTATTTCAACAGTCCACTACTTATTTTATGCCCTACACATCCTTTGCTTTCGGTCTACTTCGTATGCCCTAAACGTGGGCGCTCGGCTAGCTGGCTCTACGTAGACTCAATACTGGATTCAGTTCCAGCAAATATTTACCCATGAGTAGCTCTCGATATTCATAAAGCGGCTCGGGGCCAGGCCCGGGTCTGTCCAATTCACGTCGGCCACGATAAAAGAAGCATTTACAAATGTACCGTACGTAGATGACAGCCACCGGTCTAGTCCAGCGGACAACAAAAGTTCGTGCTTCTCTTGCCACCTGGGGGGTATGATCATTTTATGTAATAATCAGGCATAGGTACGTGCGATTTAACCACTCTTTTTCATCAATAAACACTGATCAGCGAAAATGGACTCGGACGCCTCATCAGTTTCCTCAAACTCAGAGCCAGAGCATGAGCTCTCCATCTTCGAGAGCATCGGGGTACATCTTGATTCTTTTTCCAACTCTGCTGTAGCATATGAAGTGGAAAGAGAGACCAAGCTCACACGTGCGCTCGATAACCTTGCCTGCAGTCCGTTCGTGTCCTTCAAGAGCCCGGTAGGGACAGCCGCATTTAAGCTGCTCGTCAAGGGAGAAGACGCGGGGACGTGGATGAACCCTGACGTCAGCGTATTACAAAAGCACGCCACCCCTTCGCCGTTCGGCAGGGGAGCAGAGACTGTCTTGGACCCAACTTACAGGAACGGAACAGAGCTCAAAACAGACGAGCTCGCTTTCAGCTTGCAGGGGGATAAGGGATCACAATATAAACAGTTTGTGAGCAAAGTCGAGGATGAACTTCAGACCAGCATGTTCGTCGGAAGAAACGTTTCCCTCAAGTTATACAAGCTCGCCATATACGGCGAAGGAGGCTATTTCGACTGGCATCGTGACTCGACGCATAGCGATGCTCACCATGGAACGGTGCTCGTCGCACTCAACACGGAATGGGAGGGGGGAGAGCTTATGTTGAGGCATCAAGGCGTCGAGACAATTGTCAACATGCATCCAACAAAGCATCTGAGAAAGTCCGTCGAAGAGCTCCGGCCAGTTGTGGTCGCATTCTACACAGACACAGAGCACAAAGTCATGCCCGTGACCAAGGGCACACGTCTAGTGCTCCAGTATGACGTCGAAGTCGTCGAGCAACCGCCTCAAGATGGGATTACACCACCTAGTTATACTCCCATGGAACAGGCCTTTCTTCGTCACCTGCACATTGAATCCCACATCAACACTTATCCCAACTTGGACCAGAAGTTGGTGCAGGCTGTCGTTGATGAAATCAGAGAATTGCACAACGGAGGCACTATTGTCATCGCTTTCCCGCTCACTCATCTCTACCGCAAGGCAAGCGTGAAGAAGAAATACCTCAAGGGAACCGACTCAGCACTTTTCGATGCCCTTGAGAATCATTTCAACGTCGTCCTCCATCCTGTTCTTATTCGCGCTGTCGAAGATGGCAATAATTTCGATTGTCTGGAGCGGTTCTATGCACACAAGTATCAATCGTCTGAGGAGAATGAAGAAGAGCCTTCTCGTGCTAAGAGGCAGTGGAGCAGAGTGATCAGGAATGCTATGTTCTATCTTCCACGGGTCTCTGCAATTCTGCAGCTTTCGTTGCCAAACGGGGCGCACCTTGGTAATGAGGCACAGATCGGTGGCGAGGCAAGGTATTACGGCGCTGGCATGTTCGTGGAACCAAAGAGCGAAGAGTAATGATGTTCAGGGGATTCAGTTTCGGTATAAAGAGAAATTTGCGTTCAAATTAGGACTGTTCGAAAAGGAGAAGTGTACTAGTACTAACAGTAGGAGAAATTCACAGTGAATTAAGACTCGATGATCATCAGCGGGACAAAGTGGCAGTCCATGAATCATTTTCATGGTTTGACCTAGGATACTGTCATTTTGAAAGCAACTGTTCAAAATACATAGTATACCTTGACATCAACACGGTGTATTCATCTAGTGAATCTGAGCCTTGGCCAGGCGCGCGCGAATGCAGAGATCGACCTTGGTTTCGCAAGATACATATTTGTGTAAGTACGTCCTTGGAAGCGCTTGGGCTACCTAGCGGAACCTGGATGGGCGAGGATATGGGGTTATATTGTAGGCTCGTGACCAGCCTGGCGTACACTAGCACGGTTCTCACCATCTCAAATTGACACATAGTCAGACTGGTTACGAGTCTAACTGGGAGGAGGTCTATTAGAATAGGTTGAGAGGTAGAGTGATGTGAGCAGAAACGGGTATTGTGGATATAAAATAGATATATAAAACAGATGAACCGTGATGCCGACCACGTTGTATCATCCCTCGGGAGTCACGAACCCTCTTTTGTCCTAGAGGCAAAAAAACAATGAGTCACCATTGGGATAGCGATAGAAATGAAAAGGCAGACAGTACCTCTCTTAGATACATGGTTACTCCTCGCGATTCACGATCTAATCCTAGTCGCCATCGCTCTGATCGCCGTTGCTATTAGAAGTGTTTGAAGGGTTGCTGGTGTTGCTAACGTCGGGGGCCCGAACGCTCAAATAGTCAGCGTCACTACTGGCAGAATTGCTGGAGTGACTAGTATTGTCGTCGGGAGCCCGAACGCTCAAGTACTCAGTGTCACTATTAGCAGTGTTGCTGGAGTGACTGGTGTGATTGGGGTCGTTAGAATCACCAGAAGTGGTGGAAGGACCGGTGGAAGGAGTGTTGGAAGGAATGCTGGAGCGACTATCATCGGGGGCCCGAGTGTTCAAGTAGTCAACGTCGCTATTGGGAGGGCCGCCTGGCACGCTAGGTTGACTAACATCGTTGGGGGACCTAGCGTCCAAATAACCAACGAGGTTAGAGCCAAACCCCCCACGCTTAGCTAAAGCTGTATCGCATATCAATGCCACACCCATCAACTAGAGTTCGGTATAAGTCCTTACAAGAAAGTTCCATCCCCGATGGTGTGGGATATGCTGCCGCAATAACAATAAAGGAAAGGAGTGTCTTGAAGACAAGTGAGGGCTGCATGACTGTAATTGAGAGGGATGGTCATTAGATGTCAGAGAGTTGCGAAGTTTTTATACCTTCGACCACATACAGACGTATCGTAAGAGCCCAGGTTAAAATATTGCGACGATAATCATGGTTCCGAGTAGTCAGAAGTTCTTCTATGTTATAATTTCGGCTCGGCCTCCAGTGACTGGTATGAACTTCAAGTTCCTTCTCTTGCTGTAATGATTGTTTCGACTAGGTTCTGACGGGAAAACACAACAGCCTCAACGAACCAGCGAGTAGACTCAAAATAGTTACAGCTCACCATAGGCATCCCTAGTGAAGTTGGGTGAGGTCACGAATAGGGATGGTACGAACCTCAAGCTCCGGAACTTCCAGGTGCTCTCGTTGAAGATGGTACTGGATGAAAAAGTCCAACATTAAGATCTGTCATACACTCTCGTAATGTTCGAACTCGAAGGTGAGTGGCATTTATTAGTAGCTTCGTTTATCTGAAGTTGCAAGAAGAAAAAATAAGTTCACAAATCACGTTAGGGTGCTTCATACGATGCAAAGATACCCATAATGCGATACATGCGATATCAAATACAGATGCGTCAAAAGCGTTGAGGAAAATCCGGACGTTGGAGAAGGCCATGCTTCTTGATCATGTTTATGGCTCTGCCAGTCTTCAACAACGTAGATAGTATGCATAGGGGCGAGATATACTGGCTTATCGGGGTCGAATCTGCTACATAGTCGTTAGCTGTCGTCTCTGCGACTTTGACAATCAAGATACAGAGGCACGAAGAAGTTCAGGTGCTGGCATGCGGTGATGTACAACTTTCAAGATTACCAAAAAATTGGTAAAACCGAAGTAAGGCAGCGCCGTAACTTTCGAGCATTTTGGGTTCGATGGCATAGAACGGTTGAGATGAATGATATCGGCGTCAAGAGTACTCGTTACTCTGATAAATTAGTGTTGGTCATTTCACACTCCGCCCTCGGCCGGACTCGGCCGTTACAGACTGATTAGCTGGCGGCCATCCAGAACGACGAATCAATTCTCAGAATCTCCGGCGCCCTGTGTTGGCCAGAGACAGCCTTGAAGGCCTCGAAACACTACTTTAAATGTCGAGATCGAAGACACTGAGGTTCATTCGGAGTATTAGAAAACCATCTCCAATACTTTCCAATTTATGCGCTCGCAAAAGCGACGGTATTGACCGTGCAAATGGCATAAAGATTCGCTCTGCAGTCCCAAATGCATCATGAATGATGTATTATCTACCATTTTGTGAGCCGATAAATGTTATAACAAGCTACTCTTTGAGTGTGATCTCCAGCTTTGCATGTAGTGTGCTATCACAGTCTACATCTGTGGGATTGCTATGACAAAACGGTCAGTTGAATCCGTCAAAGGAGAAGATATGTCGCTCGCTGCATCACTGTTGCAAGACAAGGACCGAGTTGAGGAAGCAAAAAACTTACTTGTACGTCACCCACTGATCGTCCAACTCCCAAGTCATGCTGACAAAACGCTGGCCGTCTACATTGCCGATGTATCTACATAGCGAATAGAGGAACACCGAATAGTCGCATGGGAATCATAAATGTATCAGTACCTCAGATTCGAATGTGTCAAGGCAGATTTGAACTTACTCCTCCGACACGAGTGTGTTCGTGGATTCTATTCCTACCCCCTTGAACACCCTTTTAGGCGGTGTTTCACGGCCAGGTTCCCCATTTCCTGTTTCTAACAGAAGTGAAGGACGTGGAGAAGCTGGAAGACTAGGGGAAGAGAGACCATAGCCAGCAATCCATCTCCCCTTACTCCCCATGTAAAAGCGGAACCACCATATACGTCCTGCAGGGGATGGCTGAGTGTAAGGAACAAATCAAAAAATGTGAATCTATACCTCGCGCAACAAAATCATAATTTAATTCTCGTGTAGCGTGTAGACGTTTCTGGAACATCCTGATACGGAAGGAAGCAACGAACTGGTGGTCGTCCAGTTCTACCCCATGATGTACTTCAATCTCATCTGGTGGACAACCCAGAAATCGTCTTAAAGACTCGTCCTTGGCTGATGAGTGCATTATACATTAATACAAACATTCTTGATTGGGCATTGCAAAGGACTTACAATTAGTGTTTTGAAAATTTAGCTGCAAGAATGATGCTTGGTCGCTGGTTTGCATGCACGCAAGACGTAGGTCGGAAGAGCATTTGGATGAAATTTTGGAAATGAATCCAATAAACGCCGAGAATACTTCTCGTCGGTGATTCACAATTGCCCAATACAGCGCCGTGTGACCCTCGATATTGGGTGTTTGCAGAAGGTCGGAGAGCTCTGCAACTGTAAGATCATGAATATATGCATTGACAATCGGTTCAATAGAGGAAGGGGTGACATATGTAGCAGAGACAAGATCACGAATGCGAGATAGAGCGGTGGCACGTCTCTGCCTGACTGATAAAAAGGAGAATACGGATGGTTGTCTGCATTTGACTTGGATGTTATGAATTGTGTTGTACGAGGGAGGTGAGCCAGCAATGGACTTGCTATCATCGATGGCTTCGGATTTCGTAGCCATCATGGCGGGGTGAGTGATGCGAAGGGGGTCTTTCGTTGAGGTAATACAATAGAATAGGGGCGTCGTGCCAAGCATCCCACGGGACTCCATAGGGTAAGCACAGACTGTTGGTTGTCCATGATAGTATCAAATGCGCGTGCTTTAGAGTACATCCATTGCACAGTATACGTACTGTGTGTATTGAGAGTATAGCGAGACGGTCACGCGCAGCTAGACACAAAGGTACGAATATCTCAGTATTCGAGTTGAAACTCAGATTAACAAATCGTTGTACCTAGACACAAAGGTACGAATCTAATATAACGTTAGACCTCGAGTCGAATGTTACGAAAATACTAACTTACATCTCAGTATTCGAGTTGAAACTGAGATGTTTGGATGCGGGTACCTGGGCTTATAAGGTGAGTCTCCCAGGTACAGTAATTTATGCTAAGCTAAACTAAAAGATGGACAACGCACGAGTTGGCCACGACACGTCGACCTCATTCTCCGTTTGGATGCGCTCGCACTTGGTGTCCTCTCCCTTGGCTCTACGCTTCGGCCGGTTGCTGCCTCTCCCTCTCGGCTCTCATCCTTTCGGCCTTGTCTCCTTCGGATTCGTCGGATCCCAACACTCCCCCTCGAGCGCTATCCAAACGCATCATCCCTCTCAGTCGTTGGAGTCTGGGTCGCGGTAGAGCCTTGGTGAATGCGTCGGCCACGTTGTCTTCGGTGGGGCAATAGAACAGCTTGAAGATGCCGTTCTTGACGTGTCCACGGACGAAGTGATATCGTAAGTCGATATGCTTTGTTCTCGATTGGAATTTGCTGTTGGAGGCTAACGCAATGGCTGCTTGATTGTCGCAGTATATGGAGGTTGGGAGGCTTGGCAGGCCATACTGTAAGAATGATACATTAAATACCTACAATTGTAGATGAAATGTGATACAATAATTACTGAAGTCCATAGATACCTATCATTGTAGGGCTGATATATCAATGGAGGATCCTGTCAGGACACTCCCATAATAATCTCACACCCCTAATTTTCGCATTTTTGACCACCTACTATGGGAATTTCCCCACAACACTTAAAAATAGATTACTTCTCCACATTTTCGCATTTTTAGCCACCCCACTACACCTAAAACATCACCCATTTTAGGAATCTCCACAATATCAATTATTCCCACACCCTCCCCACCTCACTGCAGCTTCACCACCACACCACAATAGGTCCCCTCTTGTATCTAAGTAGTAGTTTGGTATATATATGTACAATATAATGTAATAGACCGCTTTTTTTGCTTATTTGTGTGCCTGCTCCTCCTCTAGAGGCCATTTAACATATGTTAGAGTAAAGAACACTTTCGCACTTTTGCCCCTTTGGTGGGAAAGTGTTCTATTATATTCAAAACATGTTTATGAGCATATATGAGTATATTCCCATCTTTATTTGACCCCCTGAAGCGCCCTACATCAATAGATATAGCACATATGCAAGAAAACACAGAATATGTTCCTATTTAATTATTTCTAGGTGGACAGACTTGGAAAAATGATTCCCAGTATCTATTCAACAATATGAACAATGTATCAGGAGCCCAGGACCATGGGATAATTCCCTGTTGCATGGTGTGCCCCCCCTCTCCTGGTGGTTTACCCCCTGTAAAAAATTTTCCTGCAGGACCGGACCTTAATTGAGGTGAGGGGTCTATTTCTATGTATATTTGGAGTAGATCTATCATATAGCTGGCCCAGAACACACATAGGATCCTGCTACAAGAACAAAAACATAGAAAATCTCACTTTTGACACTTTTGATGTTTTTTAGTATCTTACTCTTGCATAAATAACCATCCCTGCTCACATATTATCAGTAGTACATTCACACATATGTTCTATGCCAAGGATCAGCCCTACATAGGGCGCAAATTTGATATCTGATGTACAGGAGGTATTTCTACTGATAAGGAGCCCATACTTTCAAAACATCGAAATTTAATAATCAGACACTTGGAGTAGATTTAAAGTACATTCACTATCATATACCTAAATTTACAAAACAATCCAACAAGAATTGAGTGCTGAGGAAGTGAAATAGATAAGAAATTGAGTGTGGGAAAGTTCAAAGACTCAAAACATCGAAAATGGTCAGTTGGGCAGCAGTAGGACTTTAATGCTGGGTCAACTCAAATATACATCACATTCCTTCCATCACCCTCTAACCTCAGGGCAGTATGTAGCATAGGTTCATTTAGTAGTCTATCATATATCCTACATATTTTCAATGAAATATTTGCCCTGTACCATATATAAATGTGACTTTGTGTCAAAAGATGTCAATTGTCACTTTTCACACATATGTCATTTTACTTGTCATTCAGTCAGTCCTTCACTGATCTTTCTAAAACTTCAAGTCCATCATTAGGGACATATATAAGAGGTATCCCAGGTATCTGATCACTTATCACAGGCTGGATTACTCTGTAGGTTTCCTATCTGAATGTACTACTGATAATATGTGAGCAGGGATGGTTATTTATGCAAGAGTAAGATACTAAAAAACATCAAAAGTGTCAAAAGTGAGATTTTCTATGTTTTTGTTCTTGTAGCAGGATCCTATGTGTGTTCTGGGCCAGCTATATGATAGATCTACTCCAAATATACATAGAAATAGACCCCTCACCTCAATTAAGGTCCGGTCCTGCAGGAAAATTTTTTACAGGGGGTAAACCACCAGGAGAGGGGGGGCACACCATGCAACAGGGAATTATCCCATGGTCCTGGGCTCCTGATACATTGTTCATATTGTTGAATAGATACTGGGAATCATTTTTCCAAGTCTGTCCACCTAGAAATAATTAAATAGGAACATATTCTGTGTTTTCTTGCATATGTGCTATATCTATTGATGTAGGGCGCTTCAGGGGGTCAAATAAAGATGGGAATATACTCATATATGCTCATAAACATGTTTTGAATATAATAGAACACTTTCCCACCAAAGGGGCAAAAGTGCGAAAGTGTTCTTTACTCTAACATATGTTAAATGGCCTCTAGAGGAGGAGCAGGCACACAAATAAGCAAAAAAAGCGGTCTATTACATTATATTGTACATATATATACCAAACTACTACTTAGATACAAGAGGGGACCTATTGTGGTGTGGTGGTGAAGCTGCAGTGAGGTGGGGAGGGTGTGGGAATAATTGATATTGTGGAGATTCCTAAAATGGGTGATGTTTTAGGTGTAGTGGGGTGGCTAAAAATGCGAAAATGTGGAGAAGCAATCTATTTTTAAGTGTTGTGGGGAAATTCCCACAGTAGGTGGTCAAAAATGCGAAAATTAGGGGTGTGAGATTATTATGGGAGTGTCCTGACAGGATCCTCCATTGATATATCAGCCCTACAATGATAGGTATCTATGGACTTCAGTAATTATTGTATCACATTTCATCTACAATTGTAAGAAGTGATACATCAAACCTACAGGTACAGGTGGGCTTGGGGCTTCGTAGAGTTCGCCGATGAGGAGCTGTAGGAAGAGGAGCTCGCGCGCCACACTGGTAAGCGCGATATATTCAGCCTCTGCCGTCGATAACGCTATTAACGGCTGCTTCCTTGCACTCCAGGCTATGGGTGCACCGTTGAACATGACGACGTATCCCGACATCGAGTGTCTATGAGGCTGCGACGCCCAATCGGCGTCGACGAACGCCTCTAGGCCGGCGTCTGTAGCTCCCAAGGTAAGTTCCATGCCGTCCGTTGCCTTTAAATAACGGAGAGCTCGTTTTGCAGCTTCCCAATGGGCTCTGCCGGGGTTCCTCATGAACTGCGACAATGTTGCGACCGTGAACGCAATGTCCAGTCGCGTACTGGTGGCAGCATACATCAAGGACCCAATGGCCCTTTGGTAAGGTATGTCACGCATATCCTGGATTTCGGCGTGGGTCGCGGGGCCTTGCTCTACTGACAGGGTTGTTGTAGCCTCCATTAGGGTCTGTACGCTCTTGGCGTCGCCCAAACGAAAACATTCGACGATGGTCGCAACATATGCCTTCTGAGACAGCGTGATGGTACGTGCCACTCTATCCCTTGTTACCTTCAGACCTAACAACCACTTTAGCTCTCCCAGGTCCGATATCTCGAAATGCTTCTGGAGTTCGGACTTGAATCGCTGGATGTGGGCTACGTGGTTCGCTGTTACGGCCATGTCGTCCACGGACACTGTGATGACTGTATGCTCGTTGGAGGTACGTTTATAGTAAACGGCTTGATCGACTTTGGACCGGCTGAATCCCATCGCTAGGAACACGCCCGATAGTTCCTCGGCCCACTCGAATCCTGCCTGTTTCAGGCCAGGCAAACTCCTCCTCAATCTCAGCACCTTTCCACGCTGGTCCTCCTTCAAGTAGCCGGGCGGGGCACGCATATATATTTCCTCCTGGATGCTGGCATATAGGTAAGCGCTTTTGATATCAACCTGGTGTATCTCCCAGTTTCGCTGAGCTGCCATTGCTAGGACCATCCGGATCGTTATCATGCTGGCGGTGGGGGCGAAGGTGTCGAAGTAGTCGACGCCGAGCTTCTGCCTCTGCCCGTTAGCCACGAGTCGGGCCCACAACTTCAGCTTCTCGCCGTCCGGTCCGCGTTTGGTGGCCAGGACGTAATGGCACGGTATGACGTTGGCGCCTTGAGGTGGGTCCACTACCTCCCACGTACCTAGCTTCTCCAACTGACTTATCTCATAGTCCACTGCCTCTTGCCATTCAGCGGCATCAGGACCGTTTAGGGCCTGTTGGAGTGTGGGTTCCGGCTCTGCGGCAGCCAAGGCAAGGTGAAGATAATTTTCTTCATCCATTAGGTCTACCTCTGACGCCTCTAACAGATTCTCCATCGTTAGGGCAGCCGTCTGACCCTCATTTAGGGCCGCATAGTATCCGAGGGGTGGTCTTGCCCTCGTCGGCCTCGTTGGAGGAGTAGATGGCTGAGGTTGCTCAGGAGTAGATGGCTGAGGTT